CAGCGAAAAACAACACAAACAATAACCGAGAATTATTGTCAGTGTGAGAAGAGATTGAAATATGCTCTTCAGAAGACATTCAGAAGACAGAGGCGTAGGTTGAGCTGCAGACTCAAGTATCACTTAAGTAATGCGTCGATTTGTTCATCAATTAAGATAGTTTATACGGAACACAACAGTAAATCTCTTGTCAATGAGATATTTACAAAATATTTTGTGGGAGAACCTCAAAATCGTCACGTTATTTTTTGTACAAAATGATTTCTCTGAAATGATTACATGTTGTGAGGAAAAAAATATATACAGATCATGTTACAATGATCAATCAAACAAAGGCGCGACCCAAATGAAGAAACGTGATTAAACGAACGTTAAATCTTCATCTATCCGGAATTGAATTACAATAATACTGGTGCGGTTGGTGGATGAGTGGAATATTGTGAAGAGCCACTCAGCGGTCGAATTCATACACGCCCTCCGAACTGCAATCGGCGTTTTTCTTCATCGGCGGCCGGTAATCGAAGAATTGTACAATTTAAATGCGAGAAACAATGCACGGTGCTCGAAAAATGTGCGTTTATAATTGTATAACACACAGATGTCATATGTTACGCTGGTAACAGCTGCAATTTGCAAACGAAACGAAAATCTCGAGATGCAAGATTTAAAATCGGGAATGTGCACGATTCAAGTACAGAGGAGATTTAATTTAATTTTTTTTAATGAATATCTTCATCTAGGGATTTAAATTTGTGATTTTTTGCAAGTTGGTGATTTTTATTTTAAATATCCCGTTAAATCTCGTAATGAATTGAAATAAAAACAAGGAACGGTTTTTTCGCCGTTTCAGTTAACGGTCGCACTCACTGGATGTCAACAACAATGCTTGTGAACATATCTGACTCTCGCAATCGCGCATTGATTCCATTGACTCCCGAGTGCGGATTGTCTTCGGCGCTCCGAATTCTTTCACATGCACGTCGCAGCGCCACTACCCACTTCCGGCGGGGCGCGCTCGGGGCCCAAAACACACTCGAGTGCTCGCATGATCATAATAAATAATAATAGGCCCGACGCGCCGCACGCCGTCATTATGCCCGCCCGAAGAAAGCGTTCGCGGCCGGGGGGCACCGTTGAAAGAAATCAGAGATTTACTTCCGTGCACCTTTACAATTCGCGCGTCGCGGCGAAGTCAGCGCGCGCGGAATCAAAGCTTAACGAACGACCGACTTTGTTTAAAAAAGCGCACCCTGAAGACTCGAAGAGTTCACGCAGCGGGACGTCGAGTTCATTGCATGCTGATGATGACGAGAGAAGAGAAAAAAACGTTGGCTTTTACTCTTCTAACTCTTATACTACACTTCAAGTGGTTCGAGGAGTTTCATAAAACAGAAACATACAACTCGAGGTGCGCACAATAGGCCCCCGAAAAAATGTGAATAAAATTTAAAGATGATAATGTAGCTGGAGGCTAATTAAAACTATGAGTGGAATAGATCAAACAAAAGCGTAGACTGCGCGGGCCTGGTGCGCGCGGAGGAGGTCGAGCGAGATAACGATCCGGGAATTATTCAAAAACTAATTTCGTCCGCGCATTGTCGCGGTCATCATTTATTCACGTTGAACAAGCACATCCGGCCAGCGCGCGGAGCGGTAAGCAAACGTCGATGCCGATGACGCTTGCCATATTGCAGCCGCCGCCCGACGTCGGCAAACACGCTCGAGGCCACCACCACCATTACCACCACCGCTGCTTCCCTACCATAGAGCAAGCAGAGAGAGCAGGAATGCTGCGCCAGCTCGGCAGGAAAAGGGCGAATCAATCAATCCGCCGACGCCGTGCTGATGGCTATTCTATTCGGGATCATTTTCCCTCGAGTCGTACTGATCCACAGTAAAAAAAACTAAACTACAGATATAATCTTTGCATATTACCTTGCACTTCATTTTCGGGACTTGCAAAACACCTAAAAATAAGAAAAAATCATTAAATGCATAATTTAACATTGTACATATGAGAGGATATACAGGGGATCAGAAAAACACTAAAAATGATTATTTTAGTTTAAGTGGCGTTGTCGATCTGTGCGTTTAATCAATTCGGAACAATGCGAGGCCGCAAAACGAGCACACGACCCGCCGAAACGAGCTTATAATGCACGCGCCCTCGGGCATTCGGGGGCGCGCGCGCTCCCGATCCGGACGTAGGGAGGGAAGCTCGCACGCAAATTAATTGAAACATCTCGCCCGGCCACAACGATAACAACAGCATGTTAAAGATCTTTCCGTACACACACACACACACAACATTAAAATGCTTTTTTGTTTCAAATATTCCACCGCAGAGACATAAATAGTTGCGAAATCCCACATATGAAGTCGTAAATAATCATTTCATGTGCGAGTTGCGAGACGTGAAAACCCCTTACATTGTCGTTGCGACATATCTTTGGAATTTATGTCTTCATTTTATCACCGCCGCTTGGATATTGGATATTAAATTTTCATAAAAATAGAAAACCTAATAACTTCCCAGCGTTTTTTTTTGTATTTTTGGGTTGTAGTCTTGTAAAAAGTCAGAATGAAGTGGATGTTAATTTATGTTTTGTTAGCGCTCCTTAAGGGTTGTCATGTTGAGCGTCAAGGCACAATGCGAGTGAGACTGCGTGTCGGTTAGAGTGGCGAGAGCGGCGGCGAGTAAAAAATTTGCATCTCTAATAGTTGAGGACGAGGCAAGAAACCGGGAAGAGCGCCGCACAGAAGATATGCAAATGTGGCGCAAGGGACGGCCGAGGGTGCGTGACGGCGATTCTCATGACCATATCATAATCATATCTGTGTGACGCCGAGATGGCTCACTTACTCACTTAAAAAGCAATCTGTTACTGCTTTTCATAACAATGTCGAACGATTTTCAATGCGAGGTCAAAATATACAAAACATTTTTTTTTTTCAAAATTCAAAAAAATTATGCAAAAAGCTTGAATTTCACCTTAACGAACGTGTCAATCTTTTTTGGGATTTGAATAATGAATATATCTCCTTGCGGATTATTTTTTTATGCCAAAAAAAGCAATAATAGTAAATTTTGGTAAAAAAATTTATGAAACTTACTGTTGCATTAGCAAAATCTCGTCTTGGATTTACAAAGTGCAAAAAAAATCGAAGCGTTTCTGCGGCTCCCCCCGAGGTCGGTGAGGATGCGATGAGTTGGGGAGATCCTTCAGGATCCCCACAGGCCACGCCTCGCGCGCGCATCCCCACCGCCGCAATACCGCGTGCGTGAGCGGTGCGTGCGAAGCGCCCCGGCGACAGCGAGATGCGCCGAGGGATGGGCCTCGCCGCGGCCCAACCGAACGCGGCGGCGCAACCGCGCGCGAGAGCGAGAGGAGCGCGCCGAGGATGGGTGCCCGGATTCGGGATGACCGGGATAAGCGGGCTGGGGCAGCAGCGGCGATGCCCGGCCGGCGCGGCGCCGCGCGCGCCCTGGCATCTTCAGTCAGTCACTGTCTGTCGTCCGCTGCGCTCGCACGCAACAACAACCCCCTTCGAGCCAGCCCGAGAGACACTTACACACGCACGCACGCGCAGACGGGCGCGACCCGCTCATCTGAAGACTCGCGCTGATCCGGACGATCAGTACCACCAGTGCCACGACGGTACCAGGCCACCATACCAGTGATAACACGAACGAATTAACTTAACAACTAAACGTGATTGACAACTTAATACAATACAACACTCACTGCCAACCGGACTTATTTTTTAAAACAAAAAAAAAACTTTGTTTTGTGTGCGTTTTGCGTGAAACTTTTCAGTGCCGGAATTGTGCAACTTTCATCATTACACTCTTAAGAGGACGCAGAATGACAGGTAGTCAATTATTCTCTTTAAAAGTCACAATCGTCACAGATCTATGATTTTTTAATAAATGCATGTAATGTAAACATAATATGTAATTAAATCATGCATGATTAAAACAAATTGATAAATAATTCAATTTAATTTCTATGCGACACTGAAGTTGCGAAGTTTGGACGTTGTGATGCATTTAATTAATCACTTTTTCCTAATTGGCAAGTATCTGCGTGTGTTTCGCACAAAGTTGCATCGCGTTTTCGCACGATTCGACGATTTTCTCGCGTTTTACCGTTCGCGGCATGAATATTTATGTATGGAAATCGCGCTTCATCCTGCGAGCTCTTAACAGCTGTTAAAAGCCGTTTAATGTCACCTCGTCTTCGCACCAGCAGGACGGCAGGACGGGCGAGCGCGCAACGGCGGCGAAGATGCGAGCGCGTTAACAAAGCGCGCTCGCTTCATTCATGTCTTCGGCGACGTGTCTTCACGCTGCGTTTTGCGATTAGCCCGCGACGTCTGCTCGCGAAATTCTTTTGTTTTTTCGGTATTTATTCATCAGTTCGGGGGAAAAAATTCAAAAGTGACTTCGGCCGGAGGTGCGTGTCGAATGCGACTTCTCGGAAGGCGGTCCGTTGTCGTCGGCGGCGTGATTTCGGCTCTCCGATGACAAAAGTGTCGTCATCGCGCGCGCGCGCATTTGTCGCACTGTACATAAAACATTATCGCTGCGGTTTCGCGCACGAAATGCCCAATTATCTCGTATTAAAAACGCGCTAATTAATTAACGACGATTAACGCGCGCAGCGCGCGTTGTTGGAAAGGAACCTTTGCGGTTACGTGTGGGCCGTCGTCGATGCTTTCATTCAACACATTGCGGCGATGATAATGCGGCGCACTAGAAGGATGGAAGTGCGGAAATGGAATTCCGTTTCTTTGGTTTTTTTCGAATCTTTACGCAGGCAATTAGCGTGTGTATGGTATTCTCTAATCAGTTGTGCGTCGTACGTCAAAGAGGGTGATTGCGTTTTATCTGGCTCGACTAAAATTTCCACCGCACGCATTTTTACTGTAATCTTGTAACCCACGAATGCCTATTTTCTCACTGAATGTTTGGTGTGTTTGTTTGGGAATTGTTGCAGAAGGTAGCGAAGATGAGATCGAGCTGATTAACGGCGACGAGACTACGAAGCGCATCGGCGACGATACCGGCGAGAACGGTGAGGGTGCCGAGAGTGGAGACGGCGGCGACGGCGCTAGCTCGACCATGGCGTTGGACAACAACAACGACAGCAATCGAAAGAGTCTCCTCAGCGTAAAGCCGCCCTCGGAGTTGCTCGGCGGCTACGCGTACGCAGCGCACGCCGCCGACGCGGCCGGTTACAACAAGTACCTGCACTACGCGAAGAAGCAACTGCTCACCGATTACTACGAGCTGCTGCGTGCGAGCGCCGGCGCGGGCGGCGCCAACGTGCCCACCTCCGGTGGTGTATCCAACGGCTTCGGCGGGCTCTTCGGTTTGCTGCCGCCCGAGGTCGAACTGCGCAAGGACGGCGTGTTCGCCAAGACTGTCATACCCAAGGGCACCAAGTATGGGCCCTTCGAGGGCAAGTGGGCCTCTCAACCACAGGAAGTCAAGTTTGCTTGGGAGGTGAGTACCCACTTATGCAATATTAATTTAATTGCGCAAAATCTACACACATTTGATTACGTTTATCAGATGTCTAGCTAACACACAAACAAATAGATACCAACCGGCATAGAGTCGTAAACAAACAGTAGATGCGCGAAAATAATCCAACTAATCGAAACATCATCCACTGATAAATTGCCAACTTCCTCTAAATTCGCAAGAAATGTTTTCGGTATGTGGCAAAACCGCCTCCAAAATTAAGCAATTCTTATCTGAATTTTTGCCGAACTCACCCACATCTCAAGTGTTTACCTGCACATTTTTAAATGTGCACAGACGAGAAAAAACCAATAACAACATCACAACAACGAGATAACGCAAAAATTGTATCATATTTATTTATAGTTTCGAGCCGAAATTTACATAAATACCGCTCATAGTGAAGCGCCTACCGAGAAATTCGTCTGATATGAGATTATAGATTAATAATAAATCGATGAATTCGTGCAAAAAGCGCTCCACGTGCGGAGTTACAACTCGTAAACATCCGACCGCGACGCGTAAACAACCTGAATAATGAATGCACAATGCAATTATTGCCGCGAGGAGTGTGAGTACCGGCATCCGTTCGAGTGGTGCACTATTTAGTGCAATTTGGAGAGACGAGTGATAACCGATTACCGATTAGTAGATTTGTCATAGATTTTTTCCGCACAGAGGTGATATTCGCGAGCGGCGTAAAAATCGCCAAGGTTGATTTACCAACATTCGAGTTGAGTAACCGAATCGACTTCCCTATCCATATCACCGAAATTTATCGACTATAAATTAAAGGATGTGCAGTTGCCTCCAGCGCGCAATTTACCTGTGACCAGCGTATAGTAAACAAGTTTTTTCTTCATCGAAATTTTGCTTTTAAACGAAGAATTGTGTACCAGCTTTTTTAATTGAATCATGGTGAGTGCGTTTCTCTGCTTGCTTGCAAACGGGTCGAAAAAAATCTCGTTTTTTATTCCGTGTTCGTTAAAATCGAAGCGTCAGCGTCAATTTCCGGCTTTCCGGCTTTTCGACTTCCAGCGCTTGTTAAACGCGTCCGATTTTCATGCAAATCACGAAAGGGTTGCTTGTTTGCCACACAAACCGACTTGATGTGACATGATATGATGAGTTACTTCCTTGACCAGTTTGCACCCGGTTGTCGTCACGCAAGTCGTGTTATCAACTCGTTTTCGGAACGGATATCTTCGCGCTGCACGCGTACATAAATCGAAATTGTGAAGATTTCACTGCGGAGTTTATTTGCTGGAGAGGAGGAAAAAAGTGGCTCATAAATATATCGGTGACACGTCGAAGTCTTCGGGGACGCATCGGAGGCGCACATTAAGTTGTCAATCTTTACCCATCGGTCAAACGATGGTCGGTGTTCAATGCGCATTGTCCGCCCGGAATGTTTTGTCCTTCTCGGGCGAGCAAGAATCACGCAGCAAACGGCATTGTGCGTGCGTTTGACTGATGACCACGCGGAAATTAATGATTTTCTCTTATCTCACAAGTCGGACGAGGTCTCGAGCGTATTCTCGACTTCTGCGAAGGCACGAGATTAACATACTTCTTGTTTTTTTTTTATGTTGAACACGGTGTATTATTTCGTGTTTGGCCATGTTTGCGAATATCATGGCACAATGGCAGATGTGCGCGTTGAATGTCATGCGGGTCTTGTTGATGATACTGGAGACGTGCCGGTTTACCTGAAAATGTGTGAAAAGTGCCACCGAAGACAAAAAATTGACGAATATTCATTAGAAAACATCCAAACCGTTGATTTTGTTGATTCTATATCTTTGATCAGTGAAATTTCTTCTCATGAGTGCTGATCTTGAGGTAAATCCATGTTTTCCGGTTTTCTTAACGCTTGAGTATTACCTGTCTAAATTCTGCCCGTGGTTTGCGGATTTTCCTTGTGCAAATACGACGAAATTTAATCGGGTTATTACCGCTTCGATACCTTGTAGATCTAATCACGACTGTCACTCATCCGCTGTGAAGTTTCTTTTTTTCGGCCGAAAATTGGAAACGGTGCAGCGCAAAACCGAAATTGAAAAATCCCCGACAATGGGAAGTGTCCTGTTTGATGGTTTAATCTATTTCGGTAGTCGTTGGGGTCAAACCGAGCGTGAACGGCACCGCGCACCCTACGGCATCATCCCTTAAACTAGCCAAAATAACACCCCTAATAATCATCGACACATTCATGTATATACAAGCCCATTGACACCTTTTCGCGTCGTTCTCTTTTCTCCTATTCCGTCTCTGTTCGCTCATAGTGCGGACAGGGATGTGCCCTATTGTCGCACTCTGTGAAGCTACCGTTGTTATTGTGCCGGGGACACAGGGTGTTCAAGTTGTGCTCATCGCACGTCGAGAATCTCCGAAATTGAGTGAAAACCTCGCAAGACGTTAGTTATTTGATTGAATCACTCACGCTTCGGTGGAGGTTTTGTCCCGGGTGACCGAAAGTGGCCGGCGCACCTCGGTGCGAGGTGAGAGAGGTACGTGCATGCCCGTCGGACGCCGAAGAAGATTTCGCCTCTCCCGCTTCCCATTCATCGTCGACACAGAAGTTTCGAACGAAATAATCATGCGTGACAATTGGACAATACGCGTCGGCGATGAATGCACGCATTTTTGGACACTTCGTCACAGCGGGCGGCGCATTCTTCACTTCTTCGCGTTCATATTTTATTAACACACCCAAAAACGTATCTTGTTAAAAAAAAAACATGTAGGACACATTTAAAGACTTTACAGCGTATGTTCGGAGTGGTCGTGAACAAGTCACCCCTTGTTTTATTATTGATTAGCGTAATAGTCGTCGTAATAGACGAAATCGTCGGGAGTAGTTCATATATCATCTCCGGTGTCACACGCACTCCCCTAAAATCGTCGTGCGACAACTGTCCGCACGCTGGCGATAACGATGCCCGCATACGCGAAGCTTCAAGAGCAGAGATATTTTCATCGAAACAATTTTGGCCGATATACACCTAGAGAGTGATTGGCTTGACTTGTGATCAAATTGCGGTGTCTGTGCGCGCAATTTGCCCCGAGGATATATATAATACTCGTGGGGCCAACCCCTGCCCCCAGCTCCTGATGCGTTTGACCTTTATGATGCGTGTTAACAGCGCGCATGGATTTGTCCGAATATCGGCGGGATATTGGAAACATCTGTTCCGTTGTGCTGGCGCGACAATATGTCTTTATTTCGATTTATTTCTATTGATATGCAACTTGTCGGGGTCGACATTCGATCCAACACACACCCTGCCTGTTCCCTTCAACGCAATATTTTAATTACGCTCAACATTTCTTCGTCGCCGTCGTCGTCGTCGTAAAATTATGAATCTTAATGTAGCGATGCGCTGAAACACATGTTCGGGGACTGATGATTTATACACTTCAATTAGCTGCCGCTCCCCTCGACCTTGCTGCCGCCGCACGCGTACGCAACACGAATTTAATGCGCATCATTGTCGCGATGCGTTTAATATCAACTCTTCAAACGGGGGCGGCTCGCGGGTGTCACCGTCGGCAATCATTGGCAGCTGTCATTTGATATACAGTCTCATCCGGAGACAAATGGAATTTTTGCGAGAGGTCGTGCGCAATTAGAAAGGGGCCGGCGTTTCTTGCGCGCCTCCCGGCCAAGGGTTAAGCGTCGATAAATCGGCCCGAGTGGTAATTGCTTCTCGGGTCGTGTGTTTTACGTCTCGGCGCCGCCACATCGGGGCCGGCTTCGACAAATTGTGCTCGTATTTCATGCCATTTAATCGCCCGCCGGTATGACGCTTGACACTACCCGCCCGATCTACGCCCTGGACATCGGTCAGGGTTTTAATCAATGTTTTTTGATGGGTGCCACACAAAGGATTGAAGCCCCAACATCATTTCCTCCTCGAGCTCCTGATGAGTTCTTTTTCTTATCGCAAAACATTGTTTTTCGTTTTTTTCGGTTTGCGTCTTTCGTGTCTGTTGGCGATAAATCTTGTGTGTGAGGGGCGGCGGTCGTGTGCGCCCGGCAAGTTGTTGCTTCGACGTTTCCGGCGCGCGCGGCCCTCATCCCGCTGCGCTCCGCGTCGCTTCACTTGTTGGCGAAAATATGATCTCAACGATCAATTATCGCCGCTCTTGTTCTGACGTTTCGGAAATACGTTTCTCCTTCGCGAAACATGGAAACATCATCTCTCAATCTCTGCCGGGCGGATGGCGCATGGCGTGACGTCGCCGGCTCCTCTAGTCATCGCAAGATAAATCGATCCGCGGCCGAACAAAAGGAAATAAATCATCTTAATCTAATATTAAATACGTGCGGCTGCTATCGCGGGCATAATTAGGAATTGAAACGCAAAACGCACGCGAAACAAAACGCAGACGACGGCGTAACAATCGGTTGTAAAGTTTTATGTTCGAATTGTTCTTTTCTTTTATAATTAGACCAATTAAAATGACTCAGAGAAGTTGGCAGGAGTTGGAAGTTGGCAGCGACAAAGATGTTATTATTGTGCCGAAGTCGTATTATCGTCGCGTGGAGACATCTAGCGGCGCAGGTAACAAACAAAACACGCAGGTAACTCCGCTACCTGGTCGCGTTAGCAGGTGGCACTATGCGCACGAAACCTGAATATATTTCTTCATTCGGATTATGAAGAGCAAGCAAACTTCTTGCAAGTAATGATTCTGTCTGTGATTTCGAAGCGCACAAGCAGAAAATTTGATATTTCCCGAGTTAAACATGTGGAAAACGCGTATCAGCTTCCCTCAAGTTGAGCGCGCCTAACGATGCGCCACCGCCGGCGCGCTAAACGCGCCGTTTAACGCAGAGAAAACGAAGAAATGAATTGATCCACTTGGCCGCGTGCAACCAAGCGGGCGTCCCCTCTGCCGCGACGAAAAGCGCAAGGCACTCGTGGTGCACCGCACAAAGAGCAGCAGGAAAGCGAAAAAAGCGAGTGTAAAATAAAGCGAAATTAAACGCCGCCACTCGACGATGCCGTAACGATGCGGTCGGGCGGTGCTCCAGCCTCGGCGGCGGGGTGGTGCGTAATGACTAAATGGAGTGGAGCCGTTGGGGGGCGGCGGGCGGTCCCTCCACTCACCACTTACAACCCTCTAATTGCTGAGATCAATCCGTTTGAGGAAACGCGCTGAATTTGATGTTATGTGCTCTTGCAGGTGATTCTTCCCAATGGTAGCGGCAGTGGGAGTGGTTGGTTGGACGGGTCCATCGAGCCAAAGAACTGGATGAAGTTTATCAAACCAGCGCCGAGCAAAACATCCGCCAATACTACTCATTTAATCCAAGGCGGTCAGGTAACAGCAAATTACATTTTTTTTCTATTTTTCACATTTTAACCGATTATTTTTAATTTTTTTTTATAGTTATGGTATGCTACCATCCGAGAAATCCAACAGGGATGCGAATTCGTGCTGGAGCCGAAAGGCCCTCTCAACTTACAGGAATTGTATGGCGATTCTGTTTCCGCTGATGACCGCAGTGATCGTGAAACTGGTAGGTTGCATTTTAAAAATCAGTTCTCAATATATACAAGCAGTCGTTTTTTGTGAATGGACGGGAAGTCGTGGCTAATCATGCAAATTGCCTCGCTGACCACCACTCGGGAGGAAGTCGGGCGCAGAAGGAAATCTTTTCACAATCCACAAGGCACGCGAACGGAAACGCGCGCGCGCACTAGCATTCATCACAATTCGCTTCACTTCGTCTCGCTTCATTTCGCCCGCGAAAGACGCGACCCTTTCACTGAAAAGACTCGCTTGATCGGTGTTCCCGTATTGTTGGGTCGCGTGCGCGCCTCGAACGCAACTTCCGAGGAGTAACGGCAAACGGGGCCTGCTCTTCCTGTTCGACCACCTGTCCAATTATCTATCCGCGAGGTGCCTAACTGACATCCACAACCCCATAAAACACAAATTTGTGCATTTCCAGCGCGCTCCGGGGCTAAAATTCTCAAGTGCATCATTAAAAACGTAATCATGTGGAAGAACAACTTGATTTCACTCTCTGGCAACTCTTCAATTTCCAGTTGATCCAAAAGGCCAACTTTAAACTTGCAACCACCCCTTGTTTTTTAATCCCTTGGATATCATTTCACAACTCTTCAAAACGCAGCCGAGTTTAAATCCAAATCAAAATCTCGAAATTAATTCATTCGCATGGCTCAGTCGGGGTGGTATTAGCACTAATATCATGTGGTGTGTTGGGTGTCAGATCACATCTCGTGGGGGTTGGCGGGGGGCACAGCTGCTGATGTCTCCATTAGATACACGAGCACAATTCCCATTTCGCAGTCGATTTTCGACGCGTGTTTTCCGATTCTATTTGCGTCGCTTTTTTTTTATTGTGCGCCGAGAGTTAATCAGATTAATCACGGCTTAATGCTCGCCGCACGCCCCGACCCAGCCTGGGACACCCCCTATTACCCTTTTCGCCTTTTGATTCCTCGCGTTATTGTGTGTGTTTTTTTTTGTCGGCGCGACGATGACGTCGGTTGTTTACACGCCGTGCGTGCCTTTTGCGTTGATGCTTAATGATACGTGCGTTGTCCTACATGTGTAACGGTGGTCGCCAGGGGTGCACACCCCATTGCCACATCCCTTACTGACTTATCTTTGCGAAACAGATACGAAAACACGAAAAAAATTTACGTGCGACTTAAAAATTTAAATTATCTTTGAAAAAATGGATTTTTTTGATTTTTCATCAGTTGTGCTGGTGATAATTAATAGTGTTGCATCGCACATGGCAGAAATGACGCTTTTTAGTGTATAATCGCAGATTAATCCGGAACGAAGCCAGGGGAACATTAATAAATAGAGATGTCACATTTTCATTCACAGTTCCACCCCTTTTCGAAGGCATTGTCGCAGATTAGCGGCGGTATAATGTTTGTGCGGCATGTACGGCGGTAATCCGGGGGTGTTCGAACACGGATTTTCGCCAATTCGCCCCGAAATGCTTTCATTCCAGTTGTCGCACCAACCACCCAATATAGAACAGTTGGTTTTCTCGATTAATTTTTATTGGCCATCATTGGGCGGTAATTTAGGGGATGATTAATGCATATGCATGTAATTTTTTTTTTTAGTTTTGCTGTAAAATTATGACTTCTGGCGGCAGTTGTGCGCGCGTAGTGATTGACATTTAACCCCCTTGATAGGCGAGTGCGGGTGCGCCCCGTGTTTGTTTGTACCTCGCGCGGCGCAATCAGGACGCAATCACGGGAAGCAACGGTCATCGAAATGGGGGTCGTAGGTGAAAAAGTCAGGTGCGCGAGTCAAACTCTTCGCGTGTATCCGGCATGCATCCATCTGTCCCCTCGCGACGCGAAAACAAAGCCATATGGCACACGGCCGCATTTAAATTTCTAATCGAGTGGGAACTGTAACGGCAAAAAACCGCGATCTTCCTTCCTGATAAATATAATTACGTTAGAAATTTAACTATGCGACTACTACTCTCATATCAGCGTAAATCAGTGCGGTGTACAAATTATTTTTAATTTTTACGTTTTCAAAGCCAAAAAATCACAAATTTTTATGAATTTTTTTACCAATTATTCTACGGTGATTTAAACTATTCTATAGAATAATGAAATATGTACAACTTGGTTGATTTGCTATTAAAGCTTAAATAAAATTTCAATATCACTTGGGCGTCGTTATAAAGTTATAGTTGAAAGTAATAGATTAGCAATTGTTGATGCAAACAGGTGTAAATTTAATTAAGACGGTTGCGACGCAACGATGCACAAAGCGACGCTGCTGGAGAGCGAACGATGGGAAAAGCGTTCCCGAAGCGAACCATGGCCGAGCGAAAAGCACGGAGGTGGAACAAGTGTGCCATAAGGCACCACCAACTGCCACCGCTTCCTCAACCTGCACACCACTTACGCTGTGAAAACGCCGAAATCGGGAACAATAACGGTTGAATTACCGTCAAATTTTCAATTTGGAAATGATCCAATATGATCGCAAAACTTGTTTTGCACTTACTGCATAAGTCAAAAAGTGTATTTTTTCTTCCGAAAAATATTCACTATGAAGTGGTATTTAATATTCATATTTGAGAAGATATATCTGTTTGCGTGCGTGGTGGACGCGACGGACACACTCGGGCAAACATCAACACGCACCCCACCCGCGACCGCCGGCCGACCAACCCCCGCGTGCACTTGTGCCCATATCGCGCGGTGATTATTATCATTGCCTATTGTCGGCGACGTGAGTGTGTCGACTTTTCCGGATTCATTCGAAGTGCGTCTTCTGTGACGCGCGGTTGTCCCATAAAGTTCTCTCAAATTTTTCGCTGAAGTAATAATTTTTTTTAAATATTGTGTGAAGTGTGAGTGAATTTCAAATTTTAATTTTTTTAAATTTATTGTAGCATCGCAACATAGCGGCACAGTCGAGGACGAGAGCAACGATATTTGTATTCGAGGTGACACCGAAGAAGACGAGGACGCTGAGTCGCGTTGTTGCGTCTGCGATCAGCCCTTCACGGACATCGAAGCGTAAGTCATCTTAAATCTTCAGAATATTTAAAATATTTAAATTCGGTGTGAATTACTGTTCAAATTCTTAGCCAAAACAAAGTTTCAACTTTCCGTCAAAAGCTCATGCATGTTTTTCAACTTCTTCGTGAATTATTTTTTAAAAACTCAATTTATTACACCAGCGCAGTTCAACAAATTGTGTGTACTTCAGTAACAAAATGCATTTATTTGAACAGTTTGAAGCACTTTTGCCGTTTGCATAATTCATGACCCGCCAACCCTACAAAAAGTGCCATATCGTGAAACAAGATATTCGGTTAAATAATAAATGAACATTTACCTATAATTATTCCAATTTTTACCGCGCGCGCGCCCGCCCCCGGCTTTGGTGGCATCGTTTTCACATCGTTATCGCACGCGGTTAATCAGCTCGCCTCTTCGGCAGCATGAAACGCGCGCGGATTAATAATTAATCGGCGTAAATACGCCATGTGATCCTATCGCCACCGACAAATATTGTGAAAATAAATACGAAAAAAAAAACATCACCCACCCGTCGTGGTGTGGCGGGTGGTAGGAAACCATCGCCGAAAAATTCATGAATTCATGCCTCTTGCGTTGGCTAATAACCACCAACCACGTAAATATTTGCGGTTGTTACACACCGGAACAAAACAAGGCGCCGAAAAAAATATTAATTCGATGGTCGCGGGATCGTTTTGTTGGTTGTCGTCGCGACGCCACGCGTTAATTATGCATGCGATTCAAGTGGAAAGTGGAAACGACACTCTAATCAATCGGCGCTCCAATAAAAAGACAAAAAAGCGCCCCGCGCCACGAGGAAAATCGGAAAAACGCGCGCGCGTTTATGTGAAAAATATGAAAATAAGGGGCTGCGGTGTGTGCGCTTGGTTATTTAATAATTCATATCGAAACGACACTTTATTAACCCGCCGCCCACGCCTCGACCGCCCTCCGCCGCGCCACAAAAACGCATCGATAATACTGGCGTTGCGTTTCGTCGGGGCCGGTCATCAAATCCGAACGGAACTCATCAGCGCTCATTAAGCGATGTTTTCCTGTTTTTTGTTTTTGTTTGTCACCGCTCGCCAGCTAACCAGCAAAAGATATACAGAGTGTTGTGGAATATCGAAAATTAATTTAGGGTATTTTCACTTCCAGATTGGATGACCATTTGATTCAGAAGCATAGTTATCGCAGGGACGAATTCCGCTGTGACCTGTGCCCGAGAGCTTACGCTTACAAACCCTGCTTGATCCGCCATAGATCACTGATCCACGGTGAACACCGGAAATACCACTGTGAAAACTGCCATAAGGTAAGTGTTAGTATGCTTCAAATGTGCGTGGATCTTCTGATTAAACATGATTTCCTTCCCGTTCTTCTCTAGGTCTTTACAGATCCGAGCAACCTCCAGCGTCACATCCGTACGCGTCACGTGGGTGCCAGGTCTCACGCGTGCACCGAGTGCGGGAAGACCTTCGCCACCTCGTCGGGACTCAAACAGCACACGCACATCCACTCGAGCGTGAAACCCTTCCAGTGCGACGTGTGCTTCAAGGCGTACACACAGTTCTCAAATCTTTGCCGCCACCGGCGTATGCACAGCACCTGCCGCATGAACATCAAGTGTGTCAAGTGCGGGCAGAGCTTCCCAACCGCTATGGCCCTGTCGAAGCACAGCCGTTTCTGCGACTCGGCCAACGCGCCGCCACGGCCACTACCGCCGCAAGGTGCACCCGCATCTGGTATGCCCCATACTGCATTAACCCAGATGAATCAGAACTTCTATCGCCCACAGGGCATGTTCTTTCCGTATCCGTACCCGCAGTTGGGGCAAATGTATCCGGGTTTCAATCCTGCTCTCTTACTAAGAAAACTGCAGGCTGATCAGTTGGCGGCTGGCCAACAGGCTGAAGAGGATGTCAAACCTTTGCTGCACAAGATGGTCAAGACCGAGGTGAAATCAGAGGGGCAGAATGTCGAAGATAAGAAACCGGCTAGAACTGAATTGAATTTAAAGATGGAGGTTGATGAAGACGAAGCGCCCAAAGATCTTTCCAAGGGTGGAGCCAATGACTTCGGCGAGAACTATCTGTCGCCGGTGAAGGTTGAGAAGGAAGATAAACCATTAGACCTCAGCTGGAAGAAGGAGGACAGTAACAGGGACCCGCCGCAGGTTGTCGAGGAGCAGTCCCCCAAAGCGGAGAAACGTCCCCGTGACAGCCCCAAGAGCCCCGAACGCTACTCATCTCCCGACGAGAAAGACGGCAGTAAATTCAAACATGACATCACATATGAAAAGGAGCGTGACCTGCCCACGTTGTTTAATCCAAGACCTCTTCATCCCATGCACTTGCTGGACCTCTACCGGCCGCATTTCCCCTTCCCGGCGGCTTCCTCCCCCGACCGCCTTCTGGGCCCAGCGTTTCCTCCACGTCTAGGTAGCCATCTCCCACATATGGGAGCGCACGCACAATCTCGTCTGGACTTGATGCGTCCTGCCTTCCACCATCTAGCCTCACCCCCGCTACAACCACCACATCACGCAATGGGCGCGCCTGCTCTCGGCCTACCTCCAGCAGGTGGTAAGATCAAAGATCGCTATGCTTGCAAATTCTGCGGCAAGGTATTCCCGCGCTCTGCCAACCTCACACGCCACCTCCGTACACACACTGGTGAGCAGCCGTACAAATGCCGGTATTGCGAGCGCTCCTTCTCGATCTCCTCCAACCTGCAGCGACATGTACGCAACATCCACAACAAAGAAAAACCCTTCAAGTGCCCACTATGCGAGCGCTGCTTTGGACAACAGACCAACCTCGACCGCCATCTTAAAAAACACGAGGCCGACGAAGCAGGTGTACCCCTGGCGGACTCCCCGGGATCAAGCACCGAGAATGACCGTGAAGAAGCGGAACGCGATGATGCCTTCGAGGAGATTCGTAGTTTTATGGGTAAAGTAACAGGTGGCGCGCATGATCACTTCCGGTTGTACACGCCGCCCCTCTGCCCGGCTGACAAGGATGATGATGAGGAGAACTACGAATCCGCCGTCGAGGACCTCTCCAAGTTTCGCAACGCCAAGGAGAAGCACGACGCGCAGATCATCAACAACAACAACGCCATTACGAGCACCATCACGCCCTAACACTAGACGCAGGACACACGCACACATCGCATGTACATATACGTTGTTTTGCAAACGATTTCAATGCAATGCTTCAATTTTTCTGTACATACCATGGATTTTCGAGTTCACACGCCGAGCACACGTAGCGATAGTTCGGTAGATAACGATAAACACTTGTACACTGCGCTAGAGTTCAGTCTTCGAATGTATCGACGGACGAAGAAATTAGTTAAGAAGTTCCTACCTTATCACGGCGCAATGATCGTCGCAAGTTTGTAAATTTAAGTAACAAGAAACAATCGAATTATGTATAAAATAAAAACAATTGTAGAGAATCACGTACGCATACTAGCCGTAAGAATGATATATATTTAAGGATTGAATTGAATTTCTAAAATTTAAGACTTCAACAAAAAGATTTACTTATCTTTATCTACTTACGTGAGAGGAGGAGGACGTTGTAATTGACGATGTTGCTTTAACGGTTTTTTTTTTATGATGATTTAAAGGTTATGTTATGTTCCTTCGCGAGCGCGGGGGAGCGCCAAATCGTACAATTTAATGGCACAAATATATTTATTTTTATTTTTTTCGACAAACCAATTTTGTTTCCTTTCTCTGCGGCACGCGCACACGAACTGATTTCTCGCCGACGAGTTTTGATGTCTTATCAGCGCGGAATGTAAATAAACAAGAACGCGACTTCGCTCCTCCCTCTACTTCTAGTTCGGAATAAATAATAAATTCGCATCAAATTTAAACGCAACCCAACGCTCAACAATTGTGACTCGACGCACTCACTCTTCTTCGCATGCATGCAATAAATCAAAATGCGAGATTTGGAACGCGACGCACTAATTAATTACGTATTGCATTCAACTTTCGATATGATAATGACTTAATCAACTATTATAATGCATTATTATCGAATCAAATAAACAAATTATTATTACACTAGTGATTTTCGATGTGTATTTCAAGGTTCATTTAAGACAATACCGAAGAAATGAATATGCTGGATGTTTTTGGCACTTTTTGGATGCGTTTTGATGAGGGATCTATTCAACTTCGTCTTCAAGATTGGGATCAATCCAGCCAGAGGTTTTCGGTGCCATAATTTCATTCAGGAATGTTAGTGACACGGTCCTCAGCTTGGTTTTAATAATAGAACAGAAGAAGTTTTCGAATAGGCTCGTAATTAGCTGTATTAATTCCATTTTTTTTTTTACCCAAAATCGGAAAAATAATCTTTGACATATAAAAAACAAAAATATCAATACACAGCAGCAACTGTGATCAAAACAAAAATTAAAGCATTTAAAAAACAAGAATAATGCATGCTAATAGATGGCGACACTAATCGGACTCAAATGAATTTTACTGTATACATTATTCAAAATCCTACAGACATGTAGAAAATGTAAAAAATCGTAAAAATACGCTTTAATCTTTCCCACCCGCATTGTAGGGGTTGTGTCCCCTTGGAAGTGGAAAGTCTATTCATTTTCGCTTTCCATTTCGCTCTCTGCGCTTCGCTCTTCAATCTCTGGCGCCAATAATTCCATCAAATAGGGCGAGACCATTTTCCAAAATCTCGTCAGAGCTACGTAAATTAAATAATTCTGCACCAGGCGCAGGAAGAGTTCATAGAACGAGAGCTTGATCATCTTGGCGGTTATTCAAAGTAAAATATTAGATTGTCAAAGCAAATAATGACAGAAAAACAAACAAATCGCAATTCCTGGCGATTGAAACAAATGAAAACAACTCTCAAATCGAATCTTAGACAATTTAGTAAACGACAGAAAATTTATGAGGATAATAAACGATTTAGTAATAGCCGGAACGACGCTGGGCTCGGAGGGCCATCAGCATGCCGCGTGCTCTTTGCGCACGCAGCGTCCTTCCTCGTGAGACATACGCTGGGGCGGATACACCAGGTATCGGCGGCAATGTGACTTGTCCTAAGTTTAGCGGTGGTAAGTTAGGTTGCTCTGAGAATTCCGTGTGTCTCTGTTTGTACATTGTACTAAAATTTGATAGCGCGGAATCCGCGGCTGTGCTGTCAGAACTACACGCGAAGCTATGATCTGAGTCGCCTGTTGACTGGAAATTTAGCCCCGGCGTGCCATTTACGTTTTTCCTGAAGCGGCGTCGGCGAGTATGGCGATTATCGCAGATGTTTCCGGAGCTACTGCTGTCAAAGTCGGCGTCGTAGTTGAGGCTATGAGTGCTGCCACTGTTGTTGGTGGTTGTACTCATCTGGTCATCCAAGTCCATGTCATTCAGGCTATTTGGCAATGCCACGCATTCATCAGCCACCTACAATATAAAGAAATAGTTTTATTCATTCGCAAATTAAAATATAAAAAATTTGATCAAACCCCATGCTCCAGTGCTTGTAACTTGGCCTTGGCTCTTCTTGCTTGCCTTGATCTTACAGCAGGAGTGGCTTGCCACTTGTTATTGTAGGCTTTATGGCTTGCAAGTTGATTCTGCAGCTCTTTTTCGGCAGTGTTCATCTGTTGTAGCTGTTGGATGTTTCTAGACGCGCCCAATTCGCGGGCAATCGCCAAATCCAAATCGTCCTCATCAGGATCAAAAGACATTTTTCAACTCTACTCAACAATAAACAATATCTATGGTTACAAGCGGTCAACATTTGTTTAATAAACATTTCAACACGAGTTCTATACGAAAATAACGTTTGTAAGGTTATGTCAGCAGCGATTTACGCGTGTATACAGTGGACGATTTATCGGCTTTTTTACACAAAATAGATTAGATAAACTTACGCGAGGACCAGATACGTTTGAGAGTAGGTTGTGTTGTTGTGTGATACTCTTGCAGACGCTACAGCAGCTGCAAGCGACCGCAACTTACCAAGTGAAGGAAATTTACCAGAAGTAGTGCATATTCGCCGACAGCCGCCGCCACCAGCCAGGGTTGACAGTTTGTATCTTTCAAATTTAAATCCGGAATCGCATCCGTCACACGCTGCTTCACTTGACCTTATTTTCTTGATTAAAAGTCGCATTTCTATACAAGTGAGTAGATATTTCTAATCACCTACTGATTCTTAATTGATTTTTATATAATTTCTCACAGAATGAACGACTCAATTTTATATATCAACGAATCGAAGGTGAAGAAACTCCTCAATTGGGATGACACCTGCAAGGCAGTCGAAACGGCCCTCAGAATGCAGTTTCTGAAGAAAGCCATCCAGCCACCACGACTGGTTACCTCCACCCCCGATGGTCTCACCCTTTACATGATGCCTGGATATCTACACGATGGTATCGCGGGCGTTCTTGCCTGTAAGATGGTCACCGCTACAGATAACACGCTACAACCCAGACCTCTACCGAATCTGATGGCAAACATCTCCATCTTCAATGATACCACCGGCGAATTGAACGCGGTGAGTAAATATTCCGTTTTTTACATGTTACATTATAGCATATTAATATATATTTATATTAACGACAGATTATTGCTGGGACTGAGATTACAAAATGGCGCACCGCGGCCGCGTCTGTAATTGCAACAAAACAATTCCTCCCACCTACGTACAGGGTGCTTGCTATTCTGGGCGCTGGTGCACAGGCGGAAATTCACGCCCTGGCGTTCAAGAAATATTTTAATTTCCAACAGATCCGCATATGGAATCATAACATCCTGCGGGCGCACATGTTGAGCGCTCAATTGAACATGATATTCCAGGAGAATCTGTGCATTGTGAGTAGCTCACTGCAGTATTGTTTGGAGGAAGCCGATGTGATAATAACAGCTACATCGTCATTCGAACCATTGATCTATTTGGACTGGATTAAACCCGGTGTTCATATTAATGGTAAACATTATAAAAATCAATCACATTCAATTGCACTTTGTATAAATCTATTAATTTCACAGCCGTTGGTGTTTATGAAGGTCAAGTAAAAGAGATCGGTTTACCTGTGTACAAAGTAGCAGATCTCTACGTTGATTCAGAGGAAAACGCTGCTGTTGAGATGAAGGATATTCTCGCCGAAGGGGTGGACATCAAGGGTGAACTTGGTGGCATTATCGAAGGCGTGGTGCCGAGACCTAACAAACCGCGAGTTACAATCTTCCAGAGTCTCGGTAAGATGAAATTTCCTACATCTTAAAACTAGTCTTTATTAAATTTTCAAAGATACACGTAGAGTATTAAATTAAATTTACAGTATCACGTAGCCTCGCCGAGTTTTCCACTTGAGCGAAGCGCAGTCGGAATAATCACACTCATTTCCGTTATTAACGCTGCGCGGCGGAGACTTCTGATTACAGCCTTTCATGCTCCATTTAGTCGGGACTGCTTTAAAACTGATTTATGAGCTTTACACTAACTATGAAAATCTTTACAAATGCTCTTTACATCTGTACATCCTACATCCACATTCGTGTTTAGATATATATATCACAGTGGTGAAAGTTTTAAGTATTTTCAAAACTTCCTCCTAACAAGATTCACTTCGTCGTCGAAGTGCTTTCAAAAGTTTTCGAAGCAGGCAGGAGTTGACTGCGCAAGCAGATCTTTATACCTGCATAAAATTTAACCGCAGGGCGATTATGGTGGTTCTTAAAGTTGTGCATTTCATTTTTTCGATGTTTTAGGAATGGCTTCCGAGGATTGTGCCATGGCTGGGCTCGTGTACAACCGGTACCAGATGTCCTTGGAAGTGGACTAAACACGGGATAATAATCTCGGAATAAAACGTTTTGGACTCTGAACTGTGTATATCTGTATATAAATTCAATGTAATCATGATCAAATAAATCTTTCGGCCGATTTTTTTTATTATTTATTAGGAATAAGATGCTGGAATACTGGAAATTGATAAAACCAGGAGACATCGCATTGCACTTCCGTTCTAATCCTGCTCTACGCACAACATCGTCTTCGATCTCTCGTCTGCAGCATGACAACCCGTGTTGTTCGGGTGTAATTCGATTTACGCTTGCTAATACGATTAGACAGCGACGGAGGGTTCATTAAGGCTCGACATTGCGCACGACGAAGGATATCTGCTTGCGTCAACCGCCAACGAGTGGATTTACATTCGCTGTGTTTGGTGAGAGGATTTCATGTTTGGCATACGATATCATTGTTATAGGACCAAGGACACTTTACTAAAATCTTACCGTAAGCGACTATAAAATTTATGTCGGCCATTAAATAGGAAATTGCAATTGACGTAATGAAACGGCTGTAAAATGTCTAGGCGACAAGGTGGTTACGGCCAAGAAGCGGCAGGAGACGCAACCTACGACAACTAATCATAATCATGATAAAAACGAGTGGGACTTAAGTATCTACTCAATATGTATGACCTTCCCAGGGCGCAAAAATACGTACAGCTGTGTATTAAAAATGGAAGCAGTTTTTGTGCCGGAAAATTCGCCGGCCAAGTGGAGTCTCGGATCGTTTTTGTAATTTGCGTACGCGCGCTCAGCCTGCGGAAGTAAACTCAATAAAGCCCGGATTCCTCCGGGGCCAGCGTGCGAAAATAGTGCTACGGGGAACGAAACGCGGACCTCCGACTCGCAAAAAAGCTTTCCGCATAAAAATGCGAGTGTATAGAGCCAAAAAGATAAAAAAAAAACGCAATACTTGTGTTGGAAAAGAATGAAACTGAATCAACAACATTTTATTTCATTTTTTAAAGAACAACAAAAGCTTGCCTTTTATACCTGCGGACAACCCGCAAGTACTGGTGGGAGTAGTCGCGCAGTCATATTGCCTGAGATCTACATTTAAATAAAGTACTCTTTCTACTTCCACCTTTAAAGCGCCAGTTTTTCCACTTTTTGATATAAAAAGTGGTACTTTAAAGACGGACGGCCAAGGGATTACTTTAGTCACGGGTTTTAGTCACGAGGCAGAGATTGCGCATGCGCATTTGGCTACGGTGCAGCATAATCAAAGCAGGCGCTGCTGCTGCTCGTGTCATTACATTAACCTTACATTTTCCAGTAGTGTGCGAGCGAATTTCGAAGATTTAAAACACAAAAGTTTAAATACAAGGACCTCAACGTGGAAATAGGGTCAAAAAAGAATAAATAACGTAAGCATCACGTGGCTAAACGTTGTTAAACACTCGATTGATTAAACGTTCGTTTTCCTCGCTCTCAATCAATGTCGTAACTAAAACACCGGTTTAACCACTTGATACTTAATATATTATTTAGTGCCCTTCAGCTGAACACATATAGTTTAAGATTCTAATTACTAACTTACAAGACATACAGTAACTGTCCCAAACTACTTCTAATTGAGTTGTTAATTTAGTGCTTTCAACTTACAAGTACTAAACGTCAGCAAATATTACAATCAAAATCAAAATATTGATTTATTTAGTTGTGTACGAATATAAAATTAGTCATGCCTCGTTAAATTTATGCCAGCCACGTTTATCTTACGGTTGGGCAATCGGCAGAAGGCTTTCGATTTTCAAAAGGCCGCCGCCGCGTTTACACGCAATTTCCACGTACATATTTCGCTCGCGTTCGGCAAATAAACACGCTATTCCAGCTTGCGTTTTATTTGCGAAAAATTCGGCAGTGAATCCCAATTTAGCGTGCGTTTTATTGAATTATTTCGTACTAGTCTAGCACATGTTTAAAAACGTCACCTTAATTACTGCTTAATCAGCAAATGCCATCTGAGTTTTATAAATATGCCGTACAATGTTCACTAGTAACCAGTGAAAATAGGTTTAAAATTAGATTTACGCCAATGGAGCGCCGGATTTTTGTGTAATTAGTGAAAAGTTTAAAACACGTTTGTTGTTTGCAATTATCGCGGGTCGGATCCGACATGGAATACTCTGATGATAACATTACGGCGGTACGACAACAAAGGCGTATCACGATCAGCGGAATAATGGCGATCAGAATAATTATCTCACGAGCACACTTGATCGTTAGCATCAATTCCGCATCGACGTACGTACAAATAAAGCGCGTGCATTTCGCTGCTCGCTACTTGCATTCAGCATGCATTCCTCGCTGGTTTTCGTCCTTTTTTTAGGCGTGACTGTCACGTGCCAGCAAATACCCGAACTGCAGTATTTGAACGAAAGCGTTGATCCCTGCGATGATTTCTACGAATTCACGTGTGGGAATTTTAAAAATGTGCATCCCTTACCCGAAGGGCAACAATTGTGGGACCATTTTGCTATTTTACAAGAAGAAATTCACAATTTAGCAAAAGGTAGAGTAAAATTCTTAAAAAAAAACTTTTTTTTATAAAATATTTTTTAGATATTTTAACGTCACCGCGAGATCATGAGGAGCCGATTGCTGTGCAGAAAGCAAAAGCGTTTTACACTGGCTGTGTGGACGTGCACGCCATGGAGGCACTGAACAATGGCTACAGCGTACAAGTCGACTTCATCAACAAAGTGCACAAATGGCCGGCGATTACTGTGGACTACGACGACAATGAGACTAAATTGTCCTGGAACGCGCTCGCTGAGTTAACCGCTGAGTACGGGCTTTCTTTCCTCTTCAGTTTTTCAATTGAACCATCTCTCTTCAACAGTGAAGCGAATACAATCTACGTAAGTTAAATGCAGGAATATCATCGAAAATCTATCCAAACTTATATTGCAGATTGAAAGGGACGTATTAAACAATCCGGAAGCATCTGGCATCAGACCAGACCTTCCCAGGGACCAAAATGATTTTCTAGGAAATTATCTCAACACTAAAGATTCTACATCACCAAATGCCCTGCCTTATTTTGAATTTTTGAAAACATAGCCTTCCGTATGAGGGATTTAACTGGCGAACGTTTTACTCCTACTGAGCAAATTATCTCAGAATTAGAAGACACTATCAATTACATGAGAACTATTGCTGCCGATGGAATTATAGGAGACGCAGAAATTCCCCCGTTGGCCATGGAACCAACAGTTGCAGAATTACAAACATGGACCGATAATTTATTCGGAAACAATTTTGTACGTTGACGAAGAAAAACACTGAAAACAAGAATAATAAATGCTAACATTTTGGTATTCTAGATCAACTGGATGGAATATCTAAACAAAGCAATAAATCGCGATGACGTGCACATTACAGACACCACCGTGGTTCTACAATTAAATACGACTGCGCTCTACGGACTGTTGAACATGTACAGCCTGTCAACAGCACGACAGCTGAAAAATTACGTTATCGCCAGGCTTCTTACTCACATGGCACCTGACAGCGATCAATTTATGCGCGACCAGTGGCAGGACTTCTCGGAAAAGAACAATCTGCCGATTTATTCACGCACTGATTATTGTGTGAGGAAAACACTCGGTTACAGCGGCAATATCGATTTCAGTCTTGCTGTCACACATCAGTACCAGCATTATCACTTTGACATGAGCAAAATGGAAAAAGTATTCAAGCATAATTCTATGTATAACAAAATATTAACAGAAACATTATAGGCAGCCAATCTGGTAGCCGACTTACGTGAAACATTTATGGAGGTCTTAGAAAACACCGAATGGATGGACACAGAATCGAAGAACAAAGCTAGAGAAAAGCTGAGAAAATGATTACACTGTTGGGGTATCCTGAAGAGATTGTTGAAGATATTTTGGAACTAGACGAGTACTATGATGATATGAAAGTGTGCACCTGGGACCATTTTGGAAACGCACAGCGGCTACGAGCTTTCCAACTCGGGCTTAATTTGCTACCAATTGGAGACAAGAAAAACGTGATTTGTGAGTATAACTCTCATTAAAAGTAAACAGATTTGTAGAATAATTTCTTAGGTGGACATTGTCACCATTAGAAGTCAACGCTTTTTACAACAGAGGGAACAATAGAGTTTGTAAGTACCATAAAACTAAGTACACTCCATACTTATTCTCCCTTCTTAGTATTGCCAGTGAGCATGCTCAACCACGTATTCTTCAGTGGAAAATATGATCTCCTGGACTACGCAAGAATGGGCGCCATTATTGGACACGAAATAACCCATGGTTTTGATAAATTTGGCAAAGATTACAATTCAGATGGAGTTGTCGTGGCTAATCAATGGTCCAACGCAACAGCACAAGGATTTGCGGATCGGGAAACCTGTTTCAAAAACCAGTACTCTAAATATTACATTGAAGAAATCAACGCTTACGTAAACTTTAAAAAGGTGATGTTTTCACCGTGGTATTCATTGATTTCATCTTCCAGGTTAATGGTAACCAGACACTCAACGAGAATCTAGCCGACAATGGTGGCTTGAGCACTGCTTACAAGGCATACTATAACTTGAAAGCTTCTAGGAGTCGGGACCTGCCCAACGACACTAATTACACCTCGGAGCAGTTGTTCTTTATTGGCTACGGAACGGTAAGTGACACGAAATGAACAGTTACGCGCCAATATCGACTTTTGCTCTCAGATGTGGTGCACGGAGGCAAGCAATCAGTACACGGCGGAAATGAACGCCCATGGGGCCTACTCGCCTGGGCGATATAGAGTTATCGGGACTGTTAGCAACATGCCGGAATTCGCTGATGCGTTTCAATGTCCCCTGGGTTCGAATATGAATCCCGCGGAAAAATGTCGACTGTGGTAGTTGAACAACTGAACCCTTATCGATTTGACGCAATGTTTCATGTTTGTTATTTGAAAGGGAACATGTGTATTATCCCGGAGCTTGTACATCAATAAAACATTTCATTGTACGAGATGTTTTCCCCCGCTTTGCGTGAATTTTCCCAGGCCTCATGCCAAATCCTTTATCTCTCACGCTTATCCGCTTCGTGCATGCCGACGGAGCGTTTTACAAACGGCTTCGTCTCCGTTCCACCCGACGGCGATCTGCATTCAACGCACGAGCGGCTAGGTTCTCGACCCCTGAAACTCTTCGACGTCCGTGGCGCCTCCTAATATTTCTGACGGCTCTGATTTGCATATCGTTATTGTGCATCTCATCTGCGGGAGGCCATAAAAATGCTCCTAAAACGCTATCCATCATTGTGAAGTCACGAAGAAAATGATAAATTTTCCTCGCGGCCTGCAACCCAGCTTACAACTAGACACCGTTTTTATCGACATATATCATCATCTGACACCATCAATAATTTTCTAATTCGTACAACTTTAATCATCGAAAAGTTTCTTTATTGTACCCAATGTTCTCCTCGGGTCGTAGGCATACAATTGCGGAACTTTGCTCTCGACAGTGTAGCCGAAAAAAAAATATTGATCGGAAACTCGCAATACTTCTTCGCATTTATCTTCGGCTTCGGTTTCTCCCCGGTACGCTCGAATTGTTGTGAAACTTTTATTTGCACACACAAGTTTTCAACGCTTTTCCTTTTACGCCAGATAACTGATCGACCCTGGAAAAAACTCGGAGAAAAACGGTTGTGACCACATCATAAAAATTTGTAATAAACAATTTTCTACACTTCCCGAAATGATGATAAAGTAAATTTAAAGCATCGGAGGAGTATTGTTTTCTTTCACTGTTGTCGACGAGCGTTCCACTGGCTCATACTTGGGCGTGATTTGAATCTGACCAGATTGGTCGTTCAGTTTCACTTGGCTTGCCGGTGCTTTCTTTTCTATATCAGTGATGATGTCCAGCACGATAGTATTGATCAGTCTTAGAAGCTTATCCCAGCATTGGAGATACAGACTCATGTGTTTGTACCCAGCGAGATGCTTACGAAGCATTTTCAGATAAGACAGACGGAAATCCTGCGTTCAATCAGACTTAGAAAAAAACGCTAAACTGAGAATACAGGCTTACATCATATGCCTTTGAATTAATGTGACGACGCTGGTGATTTTCGGCGACTCCTCGTAAGTAACCAGCGATTCCGGAAAGACCGTCCAGGTTGGAGATGATGCGCGACAACTCGCGCATTACTTTCAGACCTAGAATTTCGGCTAGGTCAGGATTACCGCGGTATTTAATCGGGAATAGAGCCAGGTATTCAGGGTGCTCATCTAGGAAGCTATTCGATACGGTTCAGAAAATGATTTACGTATAGAAAGTGATCATCTTACATCAGAATGAATGTTTGCCCGCATTTACTCAGTTTTCGACGGAGTGCCAGCCAGCTTTCTATGATGATTTTTTTCTCCAACGAGCTCAGCTCCATCGCCTCATATTTCAACGTGTTACCCATAACTTCGGGAAGAAATTTCGGTTTTTTTTTTCGCGTCAAACATATAAAGTATCAAATTGAATTCCGAATTTATTTTTTATCTAATGCCGGGCGATTCTGTCAGAAATAACATTTTCGTGTGGGTGGCAACAAAATTTAATAAATTGCACTCAATCATTATTTGTTTTAACGTTGTCAGGACAACACCCACACGCCGGGGAATGAAAATGTTTCAATTGCAGAATGAAGCGCACCGCACGCCGGCCGCTCATTATTCAGCAGCGAAAAGTAGCGCGGGCGCGCGTGTGTTTTTTTCTCGCCGCCACCGACGCGATGTTATTCGCAGTTTCGCGACGTGAATTGTGACCCACACTCGCGCACGGTTCGGGTGGGGAACCGTGCCGGGCTGGAGGCGGCAAGGCGTCCCGGCGCATTTCAGTGCTTCAGTATCCCATCGCCGATTCAGCAACGACGTCGCGCCGCTGGATTATTCGCATTCGCACGCGCATTTTTTGCCGAATCAAAGTGAAACTCGCAACTAATTTAATTGTAAGTTTTTGCAATCATTAATAATACTTGAATTCTATTTCGAAACAAAGAATATTTCACTCAGGAATGAAATTAAAGTCATGAACTGATTTTTTGCGTTAAAAGTTTGAATGAAAAATGTTCGGCAAACTTTTGTGGTAGACGAAAGGCTTGTCAAAATTCCGATCGATTTTTCCGGCGTGTTTACACTGTGTAAACATATGTATCATGCAAATTTGCATATGCGGGTCATATCACGGTGAATTTGCTCACCGGCGCATCCGAAATTGCAATTAAAATACAATTATTAAAACAGTTATACCCGTGAATGTTTTTTGCGCATTTTTTTCCAGATTTTAATTTCGATAAAATCCAAACCAATTTAATTTTACTGGTGTCTGGAACAAAAGAAAAATAAGTTTTTGACAAGTTAACCCGATTTCGTTAAAGCTTATTAATGAGAATTGCGAAAATTCCGGGCTTTACGAAGTAATGCGTACGAATAAAATTAGTAAATTTAATAATTTAATTTTATACGGCATTAAAATTAAATGTTTCGATGCGGGAATGTGCAATATGTTGAAATTTACGAATTCATTTAGTTTCTATGTAAATTGTCATTGGTGCGCTGATTTCACGAGTGCTCCGCACTGAAATTGGTTTTTAGCGTGGGAGAAACGTGGAAAACATTTCAGTGCAGAATTTTTGTCATTTCAAATCTTGCGGCTGTTTTGCATGTTTTAGCAATGAAGTTGTTTTTCAAAAGAAAAACTTCAAGAAGCAGTCAAAGACGGCAAAGTTTAAAACACATAAATGAATTTTAATAAAAGAACTGCTCCAGAAGTAGTAAAATGCTGCATTTTTTCTGTCATACAAAGTAAAAAATTGACGTAAGTGGTCATAAATATAAAAGTCATTTCGTCTAATTGAATTGCAAGTTGATGACTCGCAACGAAACAAATCTTTCTTCTTTTTTTCTCTCTGCTCGTATAAGAAGAAAAGCACGTAATATATAGAATAAGTTTTTGTGTGTTTGGAAAAAAATCATAACAATGCCTGCTTGATGTTTGAAATTACATTTCCATATTAATGCATGCCGCATAATGCCACTTAATTTCAACATTTATTTAACGCTGCTCGAAATATGCAAATGCGTAATCAAACTTGCTTCACACAAACGCACAGGTCGTAATAAAAGTAAACGCCTGCCGCACGAAACAATGAATTAATTTCGCACTTCTTCGTCGCGGCCGGTCGCCTAGATAGGATAATCAAATAGAAACTTCCGAAGCAATTTCCGAGTTGAAAACTTTCGGACGGGACATTTGCGCTCGTCCCCGAACTTTTTACTCGCCGGCGCTGCCAGCGAACCGGCAAATATTGTCGAATAAAACAACAGCCACACGTTTCAATTTCAATTCGCATCGGGTGATCCGAGAGTTGTGTGCGTATTCCTCGTGGGAGATGGATTGTGAATCATCAAAAATCTCAAAATATCGTCAGAGGCATTTTATTGCTTTTCGATTGACTCTAGGATATATACCAACAGTGGCGGATTACGGCCTAGGCGCACTAGGCGCGCGCCTAGGGCCCCGGCTGCTTGGGGGGCCCCGGCTGCCTGAGGGGCCCCTGGCACTTATATGTCCCATATAGACATAGTAATTCCACAAATACTTCATCAGTTGGTTTTGACCTCAGCCTTTATGAATAGCGTATTGGTTTTCACTTGGCGCCCAAAACGGCATTTCACACGTGTTCGCAAAGCAACCGTCACGGATATATAGCTGACTTAAAACTTTTTATCTCCGATTTTATTTCTTTGTGGCAAACTGTATAAATAAAATTTGGATGTTTTCTGCCACGAATTTTTGTGACCTTTTCTTGAATATTGCGTTAGAAAGTTGTAGCTATAATGCGAGTAGTATATTGCCAATTTTTTTAAATTTCGAACATCTGTGGAGGAGATGAGTTGAGGAATATTCCATTGAGGTTGTAAAATAGCGGGTAACTCTCTTTTTTTGAATATTAATTATTTCGTCTTTCTATCATTTTTTCACATCTGCGGAACACGTTGTACCGACGTTTATCCTCCTACAATTTTTATCTAGATTTTTGGGGTGGTAGTTGGATTAAAAAAAAACAGAGAGTGGTCAGTGAGTCGTTAGAAGAAATTGTACTTAGAAAGTTACATGACTATGGCTTAGATATCACAAACTGTAGGGGCCAATCTTATGATAACGCTGCTAACATGTCTGGCAAGTACAGTGGATTACAGGCACGCATAAAACAACATTCCAAATCAGCTGCATTCATACCATGTGGAAGTCATTCTTTAAATTTGGCTGGGCATACTGCAGCGGAATCTTGTTCTGGAGCATTACAGTATTTTATGTGTTTGCAAAATATACAACTTTCTTTGCTGCATCTACAAGACGGTGGAATATTTTAACTGAATGCATGAAGGATAAGAATTCTAAAAGTATCAAGAGAATAATTGATACACGATGGTCCGCAAGAGCTGACGCTGTTTTAGCCCTAAGACTCAATTATCAATGAAAAAAAAAATGAAAAACCAATTTCAAAATTAGAAGCAAAAAAATTATCAAAAGAGTTCGATCAATTTGAGACGGCATTGTTAACAATTTTCTGGAACAAACTCCTACAGAGAATCGAAATTACCAGCAAATACTTACAGGAACCAAAGTAAATATTCTTAATAGTGTTAGTTTATTAAAATCATTAAACGAATTTATAACAGAGGTCAGAAATAATTTCGAAACTGTTGAAGAGGAGGCTAAATGAGACAAAGAAAACGCAAATATGATGAAACGAACAAAAATGATACAGCATTTTCGTCAAGAAATTTTTTTATTATCAACATTTTTTATATTGTATGTGATGTATTAACATCAGAAATTACTCGAAGGGGCGATGTCTATATCAATGTTCTTAACGATTTTAAAATTTTCTTTGATTTAAAATTAAGCCGTGATGAGACTAATAATTGTGTAGAGCGATTATTGTCTAAGTATGAAAAAGATATTGAGCCAGAATATTTCACTGATGAGTTAACTCATTTTCTAAAATACATACAAGAAGAAAATATTAGAGATCCACATGAAATGTATGCAACATTAAGCAATGGCCTAAAATCACAAATAACCGTTTTTGAAAATTTTCGGATTTAGGGGCCCCAAACTTGATTTGCGCCTAGGGAAAATTTTCCGACTGCTGCTTTTATGGGCCCCAATATAACTTGATTTGCGCCTACGCCCCACTGAAGCATAATCCGCCACTGTACACATTTGCAAACATATCGTTCCCAGTAGTCTCGTTATCTCATTACTACCAAGCAATTAACCTGAGCGCAGCTGCAGAGGTAAGTGTTCCTCCGCACAAACGAGACCTAATTGTGAGAGCAATTAGTCAGAAGGCTGCGAAAACTAACCCAGTTGAAGGCTGTATTGTCGTACTTTGCTTGATCCTTCTGTTCTTTTGTCCAACGCTTCAAAGGCGTTTTTATTGAAATTCTGCTATGAAAAAATGAAAAAATATAAAAACTTTACACGTTAAAAATATAACAGATAAATATTTGAGTCAATTTTAATGATTTATGGAATGCACGATGAAAACTTTTTTGCAACAGCTGTGAAATTGTAAATTCTTGAAATTTCGCACTGACAAGTACTCGTAGAACGTGGCAGGTAACAAAACAAAGAATACCCGTCCACAAAACACGCCGTGACAACAACAATCCAATGAATAAATGACGTACGGGTGAGATGTTGGGGAGTTGGATACCGCGGCCCCAGCTATTTGCGCTATCTGACGGGTTCTACGAGCTCGTTATTTATTTTCCGAGAAGGCAGCTAGAAAAGGCTGAAATAACAACACCGCAGGAATGTTCAAAAGAACTATAAATTTTCTTAATAATTTGCTTACTGTCAACCTCCTGAAGACTTTATTTATTGTTGGAAATCCCGTTTTATTTTATTTTGACTTCTGTAAAACTAGTTTCTCAGTATTTCAATTGCGATTATCTCGTGAAATAAAAGCGATAGAATGGAACGGATTGAAGATTCTTAATCCTCGGAAATTTTTCTATAAGATAAAATAATTAATTTTAAAGCAGCACAAAAAATCATAAGAAAAAAGATTTTCTTAACGTTTGAGTATTTTAATTAAAATCTATTCAACAAAATAATCAGTTATTGATTTTAATACACTCCCTGCTAATTTATGCAAAACTTGATGTTTTGCAAACGTCATTACCGTATCAAATTACCACAAATTTGGATCGCATTAGTTTTCAATTAGCATCAACTATGATTAGAGCATCCAGAGAGTCCAATTACTGATGCGTGACGGTAGGCGCGAGCATAAATTGCAATAAACGAAACGAGAGCCACACGTTGCACATTCGCAACGAGAGACGCGCGAAAACTAATGCCGGCCGACTGGGGCAAACGAGTGTGGCGGCAACGCCGACGCTTACACACACACACACACACCCGCCGCCTCCGTGTGCTTGCAGCAACGTGAGCGAATGTCACGTGCGCTAACAAATGTTGGTCGCGTTCGGCTGTCGCTCTCGCCACAGGTTGGTTTGCAATGACCAGCTTGAGTCGGGTGGACTGGCGCGTGGGTCGGAGGAAAATAGGATGTGATGGGGAGGCAACGAGAGAAAAACGAAATTCGGTCAGACTTCATCTTCTAGTGCTACTGTATACCTTTTCTAAACATATGGGTTGAATTATATTCTGTTATATGCTTTGAGTTGCGATATAAAAACCGAACATAGGTCAAAAGCTTCATTTTTTTATAAAAAAAAATAATTAAAAAATTCTTCCTGCATTCCTAGACGAGGGAAAATTTAATAGTGGTTGATAAATTTGACCAAATAATGTTTCCAAACTAAGTTTTATCATGATTAAACAAGCTCGGCCTTTCAAAGGCTGCTCGGAACTAGATGAAAGACAAGATATCTGGTTGTAGGCTGTTGGTTGGTTGTTGGTGGGTATTCACTCCAAACTTTCGCCAAATGAACAAAATGAAACATGTAGGACATGAAATGCAGGTCGTTACAGGTCGTTGGGATGATCCCTTCGGTATCCCATTGGTATAATAGCGGTAAATTTAGCCAACTCGATTATTCGCTCACCGCGGTTGCATTATCGGAGTGCTAAGGCGCAATGCCACGATGCCGGGGCTAGCCGGAATTAATGGAGACCGCGGGCGTGAACGGGCGAACTTTGTTGGCGAGTTGTTCGTGCGCGTTTATTGAGTGCCGCCGCTTGCACACATCAAATTTTGATTACGCGAGAGCGCGCTGCTTGTTTCCTGTCTCCCAACTCTCAACGGCGCCATTGGTTTCCGCTACACATCGGAAAAAAAACTACAACAATCAAATATAACGCGATAAAATTAAATATTTTCGCTTTGGGAGAAACATCAAATAAATAGCGAAATCTGAGAATTTCAATTAAGTGCACGTTTCCGGCATGTTTCATTTAACGCATAAAAATTCCGATAAAATTCATTTCCTTTGCGCGAACGCCGCCGAGCTCGTTTACTGCCTCCGTGCGCGGCCAGGTGTGCATGCAAATAGTTAGGCGCTTATTGAGATGCGCGATCGTAGGAGTGAAGCTGTCAGCAGCGAACACAAGCCCCCGACATCAAAACGCGTCGGCGTAACTATAGCAACGCGAGGGTTGCGCGCCCGAGAGCCTTTATCAAACGATCCGAAATAAAGCGGACGCTCTTGTGATGTTCGTGGAAACACCTGAAGGATGTATCGGAGACGGCCTGAATTGTGGGTTCGAAGAGAAAGAAATCGTGCTTGTTTCGCTAACATTTGTTCTCCGAACCCTTTCAGGCTAAAAGCCTTGATGTCACCCGGCTAATCAATCATGATCAATCAATTTCGTGAGGCTTTTAGTACCATTTCGGAAAATTCGCCGGCGAAAAAATAACGAGTTTCATTATATTCTACAAAAAAACACATCAAGTCACGTTGTCAACACATGCTGACGTCAAGATAAAGACGTGCACGGGACGTTTAAATCAATTACCGTATAAATGAGTGCTGCCTGATGGCGGTGCGATCGATTTCCCCCCTAATGAAGCAGGAAAATGTAGAGAGTGCGCGTTGATTAAAGATTGATTAACCTCGGATAGCTGAGCGCCGATTCGCGATCGGTAATTGATTGGCGGAACCTTTTACTTACAACGTTTCGACGGAAACAAAACGACGTCGACGTTCGATCCACGCGCGGCTGGTAAATGCTCAAAGCTCAACGATATGTGCTAATGCACTGAGTGCAGCACTAAAACAAAAAGCTCGCACTTGTTGCCTCGTACGTTCAATGTGCTATTTGCGATGTACGTGCATGTTCAGGATCATCAGTTAGCTTTGTCCTTTGGCCACCGCCCTGCGGCTAAACGCCCACGCATAAAGCTCTCGCCTCTCGGGGAGCTTCTCTCGACGGTCCACTTGATTAATTCCGTGCCCACCGTACATTTACATCGTGCAACACGTTCGGAAAGCCGATATTAGTCGGCAAGATGCACGATACGGATTTCGACCTAAGAATACTCAGCTTTGGTAATTTCCGCCGGCTTAATTATTTCGGCCCTCTAAGTGCACTTCGACATAAATAATTCCCTGCAAGTACCAAAAACTGATCGTTGCGTAACATTTTGTGTACAGATTCTCGGCACGTCGCCGGATTAACAGCGAAAAGTTGAAATCTTCGCTGCGCGCCTCAGCGACTCGATAGTGGCAACGTTTTCTCCTGGGATTTCGCAGGAAGCTCGCTGAATCTCCGATAATCGACAGGTGTGAATCGTAAGCTGAATCAGTCAAGATGCCAGTCGGTGGACGTGTCGCCGGCAAAGTCACCGGAATTATTTCGAATAACTACAATGGTGAGTTCAGTTCACAATTTTTATTTTTAGTTTTCATACCGAATATTCACGTGGAATGTAAACATTTCAAAAAGAATTCCAAAGCTGCGCCTGGAAATAATGCTTAACGTCAACACTCAAAAGCGCGCGGGCAACAAAATTAATTAAAATTTTAATATGACGCAAGCTCGTTATGTAAGTTGTCCAGCAAGGCGTTAGACACTCCTCCTAATTAAAATTGTTTTCTATAAAATTACAGGAAGTGCATAGAATATGAAACATTCTAATGAAATATTTGGGGCGTAAAATTTCATTTCCAGGCCGTTCGTACCAGGGAATCAACGAAGAGATCATCTGGGTGAGCATCGGTATGGGTGTAACGATCGCCGTGTTGATCACGCTTGCTCTGTGCTATATTATGCGTGAAAAATGCATACAGCGCCGCGAGTATTACATCACTGCATGAGTAGCTCCTGTATGAATAAACGTTCGGCGCGAGGAGGACGCGCCACACATGGAGGAGGTGCAGCTGGGGGTGGACATAGACGTGAGGGCGGAGCCGATTTTACCACAGGTTATATCCAACGGGGCGGTACACATTGCCGAGGCGTGACTTATGTCAGGGCGGAGCGTAAAAATAAAATCGAGACTGTATACTCTCTTCCCACACTCGATGAACTACGCAACACTTAGAAGAAAAGACTGTCTAAACAATTCATGTGAATTTTAACAAACTGGTAGAGTAGAGAAAGAATTATTTTGAAATTTTTGACCTAGCGGATATGCTTTACAACTATGAGTGTAATGTTATCCCTTGAATATAAATGGCACTCTATATTTTAGTATAAATAATTCTGAAGGCTAGCGCGCATGCGCACGGGACAGTTACTGTGTAGACCAGCACCAAGCGCACGTAATTGGATGTTAGAGTAAGTTGAACATAAATTCAGCGACGACCAAGGCGTAAGTATCGCCAGGGAAAATGAAGAAGAAGTCATTTGCACTATGTCATTGCGCCTCTTGGCCATTTGGTAAATGTTGTGTTCTTAGATGGCCTGTTTGCACTTGAATATTTGTATTGCACAAGCCTACATTTAAGTGAATTAATCTACGTAATTACGACTTACTGACGCTACAATAGGAGCGCTCATTCGGTGTAAGTATTCAGAAAAACACTCAAATTGATGGAATTTATTGGGGAAGAAGCGCTGTTAATTTGTCTTCGCTCACCTGCGTTGAAAATAAACAAAAAACTCTTTTTAGCTTGTGTTTAGAGATTTATAGAGTGGAAAACATGATTTTCCAAGCAGGTGGGCAAATGGTACCGACCTACGGTCAAATTAATTATAAAGGACCAAATCTTTTGACTTTTTACGAAAAAATGGGTTAAGAAGATCCGTCTTGAATTAATGCTGTGACTAGTTAAGTTACAATAAATTTGAATAAGTTAAATGTTAAAATATGCTTTGCCAAAACAAAGAATCCATGAATATTCGAGATATTTACGCCAACTGTTAACTCTACAACCAAAGTTATTTATACCTTGATAAAGTATATGAATGTTTGGATCATTTCCAATTTGATTGTAAATTGTTTGTATGAAAATGTAAAGTTTAAATTAAATTATATTCAACGTCTTTTGTCTCTACCAGCTTTAAAACTTTCCCCCAACATTGTGTTTACTCCGCGCGCAATCCCGACACAACTCCTCATAGTCCTTGCACAATATCGATTAGCGGAACATGACAAGCGTGAGATATTTTTGACAAATTTCCACCGAAGTCAATTTACGGATAAAGGCACATGGTGAAAAGTTGAAGCCGCGTCTTTCATTGCGTGCGGAAGATCGTTAAGTGCGTATATAAGTAAAATCAACGAGCGCCGCGATAAAGTGCTTTTGGCCGGCGGTGGCCTGCGGGGAGGATTGTCGGGCGCGCCGTCTACCGCTGCTGCCGCCGCCGCTCGCCGTCACAGCGCGTTCTTTATTCGATTCTTGGAATAAAAGCCTCGGAGTGCTTTCCATTGAGGAGATCACGTGCAGGGTTGTCCTATTACAGGCGTATCTGACAAAATGGATCAAAACGCCGTTTTCATTCTGCGCGCTTCCGGCTAAACGGGTTGTAAAATAAACAAATATGCATTTTAATAACGGAGAAATATTTAATCAAATTCCTGCATGTTATTCCAATTAAACTCGAATTATATCCCGGGAAATTTGTTAGTTTTATTTTATTAGCGCGCTGCGCGCGCTGTCATTTCAATAGAATTCAATTACGTGGCGGTGGCGGCGGCGGCAGGGGCATCCCGGTTAGGTCAACCGCAAATTAGGCGACTCTACGCTACCAACTTCATCTCTACTTTACCAGAAAAAACACTAGTATCTAGTCACGTTGATGAGATCTGATACCGAAACGTGAAGAAAAAAACGCGCAAAAAAGTTAATGGCCTGGATCCAAGGACAATATCTTCTATATTTCTAGATTACTGAATAAGTTTTACGCTTGATTGATTATTATTGATGTGTCTGGAGATAATTCGATCAAAAACGTGTTTTGATGGTTTTAAAGTAGTAAATGTGGTTTGCGGCGCACAGGACGCGATCGACTTGCAGTCCTGGCGGCGGTGAACGTCACAGGATGTCGGGTTTCCATTCCGCGCGGATAATAGTGGCGTTCCCAGCAGATTAAGCCGACGAAAGTATTAAGGCAAGCGAAATGTGAGATAATCGTGATTTGTGAACAGAATAAGTCAGCGGAATAAACCAGCCTCAAAACGACGACGCACGCAATTCCTCAACACTCGAGAAAAACTCAAATTGATTCAGCGTTTAATTAATATGAGAATGAGATTGCCATCGTGCTTGATTCGCTCGCGAACACATTTTTTTATTACCTGGGTTTTATTTTATGGCTTTCGTTTGATTGTATTGCGTCTCTTGGTCTGGACGGTTTTACGAATTTATTTTATTGACGCGCTGCTTCGGCTCGTGAAAGTGTCGAAAGCAGAAAAAATATAAACAGAAATAAAAAAACAAGATCGACATGGCAAAATACGGACGTATTTCTATAAATATACAGTAATAGAAGTCTTCATCGCACAAGTTGTGATCAATGTAAAGTAATTTCCGCAATATTTGTGTAAATTTAAGCGGGAGTATTCACAGCAACCGCCAGAAAACAAAAGCATATTATTTTCCAAGGTATTTGCGGATCTTTTTGCATATTTGTTGGCTTAGCCGGCCATGGCAAACCCTTTCGTCGGATTAACCCCTTTCACAAAGCATGATGCTCGCCGACCTGAATGGGAATGTACACTTTTCACTCCATTTAGATGAGAAACGGGCTGAACCAACAGCCACGATAAACACGACAAATATTCGCGGCACGTCACAAAGCGCGCATACTTCGCGACGTGTTAAATATTAAATAACCGAGGAGGTTTCTTGTTTTCTTGTATGAAAATTATTCAAACAGTTGGCGTGCTTGCAACGTGAAGTGGTATCTGTTGTTTAATTAAAATTTGGATGGTAAATAAAGAGATCAATTGCAAATCGTATGAATAAAAACACGTGTCCTTGCCACAGTCGAAAATATGCGAGTTGGTGGAATGCCAAGTGGCGCGTTTTCACAGAGGGCGAATAAGCGCCGAATTCCATTCGCTTTTACTATTGTTGATGCGTGGGAGAGATTTAATGCAATTTGAGAAGACGGCAAGAAATTTGGCACAGATTTTTGTGAGCGCACTAAGCTATTTTGAAAAAATGCGACAAAAACGCTAAAATAAAATATCGTATATCATAAATATACATATAAATTTTATCTGAATGGATATAAAATTTAATTACATCCATATATTCAGTGGTAATTAAATTTGTAACATGCCGTGGGTTGTTTTAATTCAATAATAAACTTCGAGGCTGTGTGAACTTTTTAAATTTCATATAATTTTCTGTGCTTGCATAGGCAACCCAATATACGTTTAACCCTCAATAGAAGTCAATATTGTGAAAACGTTTGTTTGCGTTGTTTGTCCACGAAGAAACACAAATGTTCTCGGTTATATTATACTGATAAATAAAAATTAGTGCTCACCCTCGGATAAACAGCATTCAGGATGGCAGCCCCACCGCAGGCTCTAGTAAATCGCAACAAGAAGCACTTTCTCGGCGTTCCGGCACCCCTAGGTTATGTGGCTGGTGTCGGCAGAGGGTAAATATACAAAACATGATTAGATTTCGTGTTATTTATCGTTAATTTATTGAAATTTACTTACAGTGCGACTGGCTTCACCACTCGGTCGGATATTGGTCCAGCCCGCGACGCCAACGACGTTTCCGACGACCGACACGCACCACCTCTAACAAAACGCGCCAAAAAGAAAGATGAGGAAGAGGAGCAGGAGGAAGAAGATTTAAACGATTCAAACTACGATGAATTCACCGGCTACGGCGGCTCGTTATTCTCCAAAGATCCATATGATAAAGATGATGCTGAAGCAGATGCAATCTATGAGGCAATTGACAAGAGAATGGATGAGAAAAGAAAGGAATACAGAGAGAAAAGGCTCCGTGAAGAACTGGAAAAATTCCGTCAAGAACGCCCCAAGATCCAGCAACAGTTTTCCGACCTGAAACGCGATCTCATGCATGTCAGTGATGATGACTGGAAGAGTGTTCCAGAGGTAGGTGATGCGCGCAATAAAAAACAACGTAATCCGCGCGCGGAAAAATTCACGCCTTTACCAGACAGTGTATTATCACGTAACCTGGGCGGAGAATCATCCTCTACCCTAGATCCTTCCTCTGGTTTAGCTAGCATGATTCCCGGCTCCGCTACGCCGGGTTTACTTACACCTACCGGCGATATGGATCTGCGTAAAATCGGCCAGGCGCGTAATACGCTCATGAATGTTAAGTTATCACAAGTTTCTGATTCTGTCACTGGTCAAACAGTGGTAGATCCCAAGGGTTACCTCACAGACTTACAGTCTATGATTCCTACCTACGGTGGGGATATCAATGACATCAAAAAAGCGCGCTTGTTACTTAAATCAGTTCGTGAAACAAATCCGAACCATCCACCTGCATGGATCGCCTCCGCACGACTTGAAGAAGTCACCGGGAAGGTTCAAGCCGCTCGCAATCTCATCATGAAAGGTTGTGAGGATAATCCACTGAGTGAAGATCTCTGGTTGGAAGCAGCGCGTCTACAACCGCCGGAAACAGCAAAGGCAGTGATTGCGCAAGCGGCTAGACATATTCCCACTTCGGTTCGTATCTGGATTAAGGCTGCTGATGTCGAAACAGAGACGAAAGCAAAACGGAGGGTGTTCCGCAAAGCATTGGAACACATTCCCAACTCTGTACGTCTTTGGAAAGCTGCTGTGGAGTTGGAAAATCCAGACGATGCGAAAATTTTACTTTCGAGAGCAGTGGAATGTTGCCCGACGTCAGTGGAGCTTTGGTTGGCGCTTGCCCGACTGGAAACTTATGACAACGCTAGGAAAGTCCTCAATAAAGCCAGGGAGAACATTCCGACAGATAAACAAATATGGACCACTGCTGCAAAGCTCGAGGAAGCAAATGGTAATCATCATATGGTAGACAAAATCATCGAGAGAGCTATTTCATCCCTCAGCGCAAATGGAGTCGAGATCAACAGAGATCATTGGTTTAAAGAGGCCATCGAGAGTGAGAAAGGCGAGCATGTGCAGTGCTGCAAGGCTATTATTAAGTCAATCATCTCACATGGCGTGGAACCAGAGGATCAGAAACATACTTGGATGGAAGATGCAGATAATGTATGTATCTTGAACCGTTTTATAAGACTTTTTATAATTTTCTTTCTTTGTAATTGTTGCAGTGTATTAGTCAGAACGCGATTGAATGCGCACGTGCAGTGTACACGCATGCGCTGGCGGCTTTCCCTGGTAAGAAGACTATCTGGTTGAGGGCGGCGCATCTTGAACGGAATTATGGTACCCGTGAGAGTTTAGAGAACCTACTTCAGAGAGCAGTTGCGCATTGTCCTAAAATGAGGTTTGTATTTTGTTTTTCACTGTTGATCAATAGATTAATTTATGTTTGTGTGTTTTTCACAGCAATTGTGGCTCATGGGTGCCAAAAGTAAATGGTTGGCTGGTGATGTGCCTGCTGCGCGTGGTATTCTCTCTTTAGCCTTTCAAGCCAACCCCAACAGCGAAGAAATTTGGTTGGCTGCGGTCAAATTGGAGTCCGAGAACCATGAGTATGAGCGTGCGCGTAAGTTACTTGCCAAAGCTCGTGGTTCTGCACCAACTCCACGTGTTTTAATGAAGAGTGCTAAGTTGGAATGGCTATTGAACGATTTGAAAGCCGCGCTTGTTCTGTTGGAAGAAGCATTGAAAGTATTTCCGGAGTTTTCTAAGCTGTGGATGATGATGGGTCAAATCTACGAGCAGCAAAATGATCCTGAGCGTGCATTCTCCACATACAATCAAGGCGTAAGTCATTTAAATCTAATTATTGCATGCATGGTGTTTCATTATATTGTTTTCAGATTAAGAAATGCCCGACAGCGATTCCTCTGTGGATGTTACTCTCAAGGTTAGAAGAAAGCCGCGGATTGTTGATCAAAGCACGCTCTGTGCTGGAACGTGCTCGTCTAAAGAATCCCAAGTCTGAACTGCTGTGGTTGGAGGCAATTCGCGTTGAAATGCGCGCTGGTTTGCGAGATGTTTCTATGTCGATGATGGCGAAGGCACTACAGGAGTGCCCGACGTCCGGTCGTCTGTGGGCCGAGGCGGTGTTTATGGAACCGCGTGCACAGCGCAAGTCTAAATCGGTGGATGCGCTCAAGAAGTGCGAGCATGACCCTTATGTATTGCTTGCGGTCAGTAAGCTCTTCTGGACAGAGCGCAAACTGACTAAATGTCGCGAATGGTTTGCGCGTACGCTTAAAATTGAGCCGCATTTCGGGGACGCGTGGGCATTTTGGTATCGCTTTGAGCAGCTTCATGGTACACCCGAGCAGCTGGAACAGGTAAGACAGCGCTGCTTAGCTGCAGAAACATACAACGGCGAATTATGGTGTGCCGTCAGCAAGGATATTCGCAATTGGACACTTACTACTGAGCAAGTGTTACAATGTGTTGCCAAGCAAGTTCCAATTCCAGTTTAACTTATGACAAACGGTTTATTCATAATGATAAAATGAATTATCATGGAGAACATAAATGACTTACATTTATTTTTGGTAGTTACTAAGAATGATGCAAAGTATAAACAACCACAGTTTAAACTAATATTTGATCCATAAAAGCGTTAACGCGTTACTCATTTTCTTGTCACTCCTCTTTTTTCGTTGGATTTCGGTACGACGTAATTGGTGATTTATATAATTGATTTTCGTTAAAACTTGTGTGCTTCTTGGCCTCTTCAAACTTAGCAAAAGAGCGTCTATCTGCATAAAATATGTGCGCTTTCCAAGAAAGCAAAACAATAAAGAATATAGCCAGCAAAGCGCACGCGTATGGGTACATAAAGCCCAAACTGGCTAGTAACGATGGATTTGAAGAGCACTTTAGGTAATACATAATGCTAGTTGTACCATCGACGGTCGAGATATAGAAAACGTCACATGCGTGCGTAGAATTCGGCGAATAGAACATCCTACAATCGTATTCTGAAAGGAATCCACCGTGTAATCAAGTGTTTCTATTTCTCTGCATGTATTCTATTCAATACTTACGTGGTTCATTATCGGTAACGGGCCAGAAGACGTACGCTTTTCTTTCTGATGGGGTTAACTGGCCTCTGATGTGTTTCTCCAATACACCCTGATGCTTACATGTATTACAACCCGAACAGAACTCACAATACTTACCTCTATAGCTGCCTGTGCCGTTTTTGTTACACTCGCACTTACCACAGTTACAAACGCCGTGTTTACTGCACATATCGGTCTTTCCTGGCTTCACACACGTATCCGTCGACACGGTACAGTTACAGAATTTATCTTGCTTCACACCCGGCTCGCAGATGCAGCCATCGGTTCCACAATGACCATGCCCGGAGCAAACTTGATCTTTGTTGTCCACGTAACACTCGATTTCGCAATGGTTCCCGGCGCGGCCTTTGTTGCAGTCGCATTTACACGTATCCTCGTTAAAGTCGCCATACCCGCAACATGACTTGCCTTTGCAACTCTTTGTATAACGCGCTGTGGAAGGATCACACTTTTGGTCGCAACGGTCTCCAATCCTGTAACACAGTTTAATTACACAGTTAATTATACTTTGTACATTCTGAGGAAATACTTACCATCCCGGATCGCATTTATATATCCCGCATGAGAACTCCCCATGAATCTTTGGGTCCGGTTTTTTGGTGTCACATTCACAGGTTTCTGGGTATTCGATTTCGATCTCCACCTGCTCGTGCAGATGCATTTCTTCGATATGGATCACATGCCTGTGCCCTCTAGGCTGGCCCTTAAGAGTTACTGTAATATTGAAGGTGTATTCCTTTCCTAGTTCCACTTTATAACAGCCCCATGTGTGGTTGATGTTGGCTTCCCCGCAGGTAGACGTAGAATCGAACTTTAGATAATCTGGCGGGTCTACTACATTGAACAACACCTTCTTTACAACGTCCCTGAAGCCTGTCTCTAACACTTCTGTAATGTTGTTCCGATCAGGACGCATCATTGCGAGAAAGGAGACCTTATGCAATAGATCATTAACTTCTTTGTAATAGGCTGCGGTTTCATATGTCTCCTGGATAGCGAAGATAATTGCGATTTTTTTCATAAGCAAAGCTCTGTATATCTCTTCCACTGAAGGGTAATCTCGTTGGAGACCATCGTAGACCCAGCGTCCGTCCTTCTGTTGTTTTACTTTGCATTCCCGAGGAGCGCGGTTTACCACCCCACCTAGAATACCTTCTCCTGCTGTATGCAACAATCCATCTGTCGCCAGTACTATCATCTTCCTTGAGTAATTTCGCCAACCGAAGGAGTCACACAATATTATCTGCATTAATGCATCTAAGGCACCCTCTGGATCGTCAAGGTTAGCTGTAAATTTAAAATCTTTTACTTTCTCTTGGAAGCTTGCTGTGTTGTTAGTGAAGTTCAGCTCATGCACAAAGTTGGAGCCTAGCACACACTGATTTATTTTGGAGGTGCTCAGATCGCGACATGGATTTTCCTGACGTGCTTGATCCATTGCGTAGTAGGGCATTAAGACTTTGTCGCTGAAGTAACCAAAAGCTATTCTAAAGTTAGTCGTTAGGTCTTCAAGCGTGTTTGCGAGTCGCTCGTTCAGTTTACTCAGTTCGTCTAGATGTTTGGCCATAGAAAAAGTTTGATCTACGAGGTAGTAAATATCGAGTGGGTAGTTCTCCAGAGCTTTGTACTTTAGGGTGAATGTAATGGATTCGTTCTGGCGCAGCTTCAGTTTAATTTTTTGTGGTCGAATCTGAATTGCCGTGGCGGTGTCATCCGATGGCAAACGAAAATCGTGATCTTCGAGAGTGGACCATCCCGATGGGCCACCTTTGAATATGGTCATTCCGGGTTCGTGAGTGTTCGATTCTATGGTGCATCTTGATCTGCCTGGTTGTACCTAGTAACATTTTTAGTTAAATTTAGATATTTGTACAAAGCAATATTATAATGTATTATAATCACCTCACTCGTTATCCAAACACAATTGGGATCCAGAGACATGCATTCCTCGCATGTAGTCTTCGAATTATTCTGACTATTCTGACAGATATTAAGTAACTGGCCATTAATAATGGTTACAGCAGAGCATAATATAATTAATGAAAACATTGATGCGTACATTATATATACAGATTTAACAAGTTTGCCGGTTGCAAACCTGTGCCGTGTGGTAACATGGGACCATAACTATCATCACTCTGAAAGTTATCTTATTTGGCTTGTGTGTTTATTCAACGATAATGACTAATATGATCGTTGCAGTAAACCTAATACCAATATTGGCATAATTTCATCACTAGACATACACAATTGACAAAAACATATCTCTTCTCCCAATCACTATCTCCGGATTAGTCGTAACTGTAAAAAAGCAGTTCCCAATAATTTAAACAACATCTCAGTATTTAGGAGTGGCTGTTTATTTACATCAGAAATAGGCAATTGGCCAAGGTTGCCACATTTTACAAATCTTTAGAACTCGGAGATCCAGACTTTGATATACGTTCCCGCTTGCAAGGAGGACTGTGAACGCTTTCTGGATTGTCAGTTGTCTCCTTAGCTGAACTTGAGGATGGCCGATATCTTTTCCTGTGAGATTCAGATCTGGATCTTCCTTTTTTGGTGTACCTCCTTTTGCGCGCCCACCGGTAATAATCGGAAGCATGTTTCGTGGCTTCCCGTTTACGAATGTGCTCAGATTTCATCTTTCGGTAGAGGCGTCTCTCTCGCCGCATCGTCATTGCTTTCAGACGCGCGGATCGCTTGATTTTGTGACTTTTTTCGGTCTCCTGCATAGTCTTCAGTTCTATCGTTATTAGGTTTGTCATTGCTTTTATCTCGTTGAGGAGTTTGATTCGGAGGGATTTTTTACGGTCTGCATTTCGCGACATTTTAAATTTGATTTTTTGACAACGTCAACGTCAAACCGGAATTGTTTTATAAACATTGTATGACAGAAAAACTTCGATACAATACTTTGAAAATTGCACTTTATTCAATTGAGTATTTATTATTATCTAAACTTAAGATTTCAAACATGGCAACTTATAGTCTAGGAGTATTACAATCTCATTGCTTTCGAAATAAATATATGATATGTACAGGTGGTACCACTATATGATAAATCAACTTGCTCTTGCCTCAGAATTAGCGTACAACGTTAAACATAAAGAATTAACCCACAACCGATAAATTAACTTAGCGCTTAATACCCCAATTAAACTTGAATCGTCCCCAGATTCAAATTGTCGTTCGCAAATGGGAAATTGCACGGCGCCCAAAGACGGAAATTTCCCATTTGTGAAACACGCATAAATTTAAATGGCATCGAACTAGAAAGTGATGGCGGTGCGACCTACAAGTGCATTCTGCGACGCCGCTTGCCAACACTGATTGTCTCCACTGGTACCTCCCACCTAGTACCGTAGCTGTGCAGACCGCGACATTGTTGTAATTTGCCGGTACGTTCGCACTGCTTACTGATGGGCCAATATGCATGATCTTGCGGGCACTGGTAGACGTAGCCTTGCATTTTACCGCGGTAGTCCAACGAGCGCTGACACTTTATGAATAAGTTACTGCAGCCACCTTGTTCGTCGGTGTTTAACTCGTGGTGGCCTTCATTCGGACAGAGGACTTGATGCCCTGGCATTGGTACCTATTACAATATAGATGACAACATAGAATATCAAATTAGAATCACTGCAAAAAACTTACCGGTGGCAGTGAATTGTCGTCCAGTTTCCTATAGAACCTCTTGGTGGCAATCTGACCTGTGCATGGTTTGGTTTCGTTGGCGGGCAAACATTGAATCTTCTCTTCGTCGTAGAGCAGACCGTCCGGACAACTCAATACCAGAAGTTTCATATCAAAGTTCTTGTCGTTGTTGGTACATTGGTAGAGGAGATTACAATACTTGGGATGGCGCTTGAAACCCGTTGGGCAAACCAGTGCGATTTGATCGCCCATGAGCTCGCCGATTGGACAACTTGGAGTCGTGCTGCTCACCTCCTCGGTGGTGCTTGAGTCGGTGGTGACTGTTGAAGTAAGAATTTCAGTGGGGGTAATAGGGGCCGGTGTAGGTGGTGTAGATGGTGCCAAAGTGCTACTACTAGCTGAAGTGCTTTCAGTAGAAGAGGCGGTGCTACTGTCTGGCGATTGTGTGACGGGTGAAGTCGTGCCTTCAGGAGTGCTGGTGTTAGGTGTGCTCTCAGGTATCGTGCTACTGGATGCGCTTTCAGATGTCGTAGTTGGTGATTGTGTGGTGCTTTCAGCAGTACTTGTGCTTGTTCCAAGTGTACTGCTATCAGTTACCGTGCTACTAATTGTGCTACCTTCAAGTGTTGTACTACTAACTGTGGACCCATCGCCCCCCTAAAGTGGTGGTTTCGGGTGTGGTTCCGTCAGATGTACTACTTTCTGGTGCAATGCTACTTTGTGTTGTGCTTTCAGTCGTGGTACTACCTGTTGTTATGATTTCGGTTGAAGTACTGCTCAGTGTAGTGCTTTCAGGTGCAATACTAGTTATTGTACTACTTTCTGGTGTGGTGCTACTTAGTGTGGTGCCTTCAGGAGTTGTACCTTCAGGCGAAGTATTACCTTGTGTGCTGCTGTCAACGACAGTGGTTGTTGTACTTCCGAGTGTGGTGACTTCCGATATGGTGGATTGTGTGACGCTTTCGGTTGTGCTACCTACTGTTGCGTCGGTTACAGTACTACCTTGGGTACTGCTTTCTGTAATTGTACTACTTGCACTTTCGGTTGTGCTAATTTGTGTGCTTCCCTCTGGTTGCGTACTAGTGCTTCCTAAAGTGGTTCCTTCAGGTGTACTCTCAGGTTGTTGTGTACTACTTTGTGTAGTGCTTTCAGGTAATTCTGTCGTGAGTGTGGTACTTCCTAATGTGGTGGAACCTAATTCGGGTGTAGTAATAGCAGAAGTCGTACCTTCAGTGCTTCCTGATGTTGTTGAACTGTCTATTGTACTACCTCCTTCAGCATCTATAGTCGTACTTGTTATAGTTGTTCCGCTTTCAGTGGAGGTTGACTGAACCGTGGTTGGACTGGTGGCTGTACTCTCACTTGGTGTGGCAGTGCTTCCTGCAGTGGGTGGCTGTGTGGGAGGCTGTGTGGGAGGCGCCTGAAATATGAATTTTAAATTACATTTTTTTATATTTTATCCTGTAATAAAATTGAAGGGCATTACTTGTGTTGGAGGAGCAGTTCCCGGCTGTGGAGGGCAATTACGTTGCACTGCCGACGGGTGATTGCAAACTTCAATTGCAGGATCGAATATTGTTCCTGGTCCACAGGTAAATTCATATTTCTGGAATCTTGTACCTCGAGAAGTGCTATTTTTGTCGTCTAAATCAACACAACGATAGAATTTCTGGCAATCTGCTGGGTCTGGGAAAAATCCTTCTTGTTTACATGGATCTGCGGTCTGACTACCAGGTTGTGGAGGTAGTGGTTGACCTGGTGGGCAAGGTTGTCCGGGTTGTGTTATTGGTGTAGGTTGGGTAGGTTGTTGCGGCTGCCCGGGTTGTGTGGGTTGTCCTGGTTGTCCTGGTTGGCCAGATTGTCCTGGCTGCCCTGGCTGGTTTGGTTGTCCTGGTTGGGTCGGTTGTCCCGGCTGTCCAGGCTGTCCGGGCTGCCCTGGTTGTGTAGGTTGTCCCGGTTGTGCTGGTTGTGTAGGCTGACCCGGTTGTGACGGATGTCCTGGTTGCCCACAGGCACCGCGTACGGCCCATGGATGATTACAAGTTAGTGCTTCTTGGTCCCAAACTGTATTTGGTGAACAAGTAAACGGATATTGCGTGTAACCATTTCTACCATTATCAACACATCGATAAAATTTAGAGCAATCGGCGGCATCTCCCATAAATCCAGAAGAAACGCATGCATTTGGTGGCTCTCTTCCTGGTTCAGAAGGATGAGCAGGTTGTCCTGGTTGTCCCGGTTGTGTAGGTTGACCCGGTTGCCCTGGTTGTGTAGGCTGTCCTGGCTGTCCAGGCTGTCCCGGCTGTCCCGGCTGTCCCGGTTGGCCTGGTTGTATTGGCTGACCCGGCTGTCCCGGTTGACCTGGTTGAGTAGGCTGTCCTGGCTGTCCTGGTTGTGTAGGTTGCCCCGGTTGTGTGGGTTGTCCTGGTTGTCCCGGTTGTCCTGGTTGTGTTGGCTGACCCGGCTGTCCAGGTTGACCTGGTTGAGTAGGCTGTCCTGGCTGTCCTGGTTGTGTAGGTTGCCCCGGTTGTGTGGGTTGCCCTGGTTGTCCCGGTTGGCCTGGTTGTATTGGCTGACCCGGCTGTCCCGGTTGACCTGGTTGAGTAGGCTGTCCTGGTTGTGTAGGTTGCCCCGGTTGTGTGGGTTGCCCTGGTTGTCCCGGTTGTCCTGGTTGTGTTGGCTGACCCGGCTGTCCTGGTTGACCTGGTTGAGTAGGCTGTCCTGGTTGTATAGGTTGCCCCGGTTGTATGGGTTGTCCTGGTTGTCCCGGTTGTCCTGGTTGTGTTGGCTGACCCGGCTGCCCAGGTTGACCTGGTTGAGTAGGCTGCCCCGGTTGTGTTGGCTGTCCGGGTTGTGTAGGTTGACCTGGTTGTGCAGGTTGTCCCGGTTGACCAGGTTGGGTTGGCTGTCCTGGTTGTCCCAGTTGTCCTGGTTGTGTTGGCTGACCTGGCTGTCCTGGTTGCCCAGGTTGTGTAGGTTGGCCTGGTTGTGTTGGCTGTCCAGGTTGTGTGGGTTGGCCCGGTTGGGTTGGCTGTCCTGGCTGTCCAGGTTGTCCTGGTTGTGTAGGCTGCCCCGGTTGTGTTGGCAGTTCCGGCTGTGTAGGTTGACCTGGTTGGCCTGGTTGTGTAGGCTGACCGGGTTGTGTAGGTTGTCCTGGTTGCCCTGGTTGTGTAGGTTGACCTGGCTGTCCTGGTTGGCCAGGTTGGGTTGGCTGTCCCGGTTGTGTAGGTTGACCTGGTTGTGTAGGCTGCCCCGGTTGTCCTGGTTGCCCTGGCTGCCCTGGTTGTGTTGGCAGTCCGGGCTGTCCTGGTTGTGTAGGCTGTCCTGGTTGCCCCGGTTGTGTAGGTTGCCCCGGTTGTCCTGGTTGTGTAGGCTGTCCCGGCTGCCCGGGTTGTGTTGGCTGACCCGGTTGTCCTGGTTGTGTTGGATGTCCCGGTTGTCCTGGTTGTGATGGTTGGCCTGGCTGGGTAGGTTGTCGCGTACCACATTTTCCTCGAATTGCCCATGGATGATTACAAGTCAGCAAATCTTGATCCCATAACGTGTTTGCTGCACAAGTATACTGATATTCTGTATAACCATTTCTTCCGTTATTTACGCACCGTGAAAACTTAGCACAATTTGAGTCGTTTGGAATAAATCCTTCACTTGCGCACGCATTTGGAGGCTCAATTCCGGTGGATTAGTTTCAATTGTTTGACATGGTGGCCCAGTGGAAGATGGAGGTGTAGTTGATCCGTCTCCTGGATGTCCTGGTTGCCCTGGTTGTCCTGGTTGTCCTGGTTGTCCTGGTTGTCCCGGCTGTGCTGGTTGTCCTGGCTGACCAGGTTGTCCTGGCTGACCAGGTTGTCCTGGCTGTCCAGGGTGCTCAGGTTGTCCTGGTTGTCCAGGCTGACCAGGTTGTCCTGGCTGTCCAGGGTGCCCTGGCTGTCCAGGCTGACCAGGTTGTCCAGGATAATTTCCACCGCCCCCAGGTTGGCTAGGTTGGCCTGGTTGATTTTCATTTGGTATGCCTGCATCCGATTTACATTTTCCTGTGACAGCCCATGCATGATTACATGATTGAATACTGCCGTCCCAAACGGTTCCTGGTCCACAAGTAAATTCAAATTTGATATTGTTTGCGCAACGGTAGAATTTAGCACAATCTTGTTCGTCTCCGTAAAAACCTTCTTTGTTACATGATTGTCCGGGTTGTAAATATCCATTATCTGGTTGTGGTTGAGCCGGTTGTCCCGGCGTACCCGGTTGACCTGGTTGCCCGCCTGTTCCGGGTTGACCTGGCTGTCCAGGTTGTCCCGGTTGACCAGGATCATATCCGCCCGTTCCTGGTTGCCCTGGTTGCCCGCCAGTTCCAGGTTGCCCTGGTTGACCTGGATAATGTCCACCACTTCCTGGTTGTCCTGGTTGTCCTGGTTCTCCTGGTTGCCCGCCAGTGCTAGGTTGCCCAGGTTGTCCTGGTTGACCTGGATCTCCTCCTGTGCCTGGCTGCCCTGGTTGTCCTGGTTGCCCTGGTTGCCCTGGTTGCCCGCCAGTACCAGGTTGCCCTGGTTGCCCCGGTTGACCTGGATAATAACCACCACTTCCTGGTTGTCCTGGATATCCTCCTGTGCCTGGCTGCCCTGGTTGTCCTGGTTGCCCGCCAGTGCCAGGTTGCCCTGGTTGACCTGGATAATAACCACCACTTCCTGGTTGTCCGCCAGTACCAGGTTGCCCTGGTTGCCCGCCTGTGCCAGGTTGGCCTGGTTGGCCTGGATAATAACCATCACTTCCTGGCTGCCCAGGCTGTCCCGGCTGTCCTGGTTGACCAGGTTGCCCTGGATATCCTCCCGTGCCTGGTTGACCGGGTTGACCTGGTTGTCCTGGCTGTCCAGGTTGCCCTGGATAATAACCACCATTTCCTGGTTGCCCAGGTTGTCCTGGTTGACCTGGATATCCACTCGTGCCTGGTTGTCCGGGTTGGCCTGGATATCCTCCTGTGCCCGGTTGTCCCGGCTGACCTGGCTGTCCAGGTTGCCCTGGTTGGTCTGGATATCCTCCATTACCTGGCTGACCTGGTTGTCCTGGTTGCCCTGGTTGCCCGCCAGTACCAGGTTGCCCTGGTTGCCCCGGTTGACCTGGATAATAACCACCACTTCCTGGTTGTCCTGGATATCCTCCTGTGCCTGGCTGCCCTGGTTGTCCTGGTTGCCCACCAGTGCCAGGTTGCCCTGGTTGACCTGGATAATAAGTGCCACTTCCTGGTTGCCCCGGCTGTCCGGGTTGGCCAGGATAATAACCGCCAGTGCCTGGTTGTCCGGGTTGACCACCAGTACCTGGCTGTCCTGGATAATAACCACCATTGCCAGGTTGTCCCTGTTGACCAGGATATCCGCCTGTTCCGCCAGTACCTCCAGTACCTCCAGTTCCACCTGTACCTCCAGTTCCACCTGTACCACCAGTTCCTCCCGTACCTCCTGTTCCAACTCCACCCGAGCCATATTCCGGCCCAGCTTTACGACAATTCTCACGTTTTACATTCCAAGGATGGTTACAACCAATTGTGTCGGGATCCCAAACAGTGCCAGGCCCACAAGTAAAGTCGTAGCGGGTGAAACCACCCTGTCCGTTATTCACACACCGGTAAAACTTCATGCAATCCACCTCGTCAGCCAAGAATCCATCTTGCGTACATGTACTTCCAATTTCAGAAGAGACTGGGACCGATGGCGTAGTACCTTGGGGAGGATAATATTCGGTAGAAGGTGGTGGTACAGTTGATGGTCCCTGCTGGCCAAAGCCTCCTTCAATATGATTACCTCCACATTCTACTCTGCTACTGGCATAAGGATGATTACAGATGTTTGTAGCCGGATCAAATACAGTTCCCGGTCCGCAAACAAATCTCACTGGCATCAAGGATCCATCAGCGGCTAGTACACATCGATAAAACACTTGACAATCCGCCGGGTCGGATGAAAGCCTTCACATGGACAGTTGAAGTTTGTCATGGGTGGTGCATTACGAACAAAATCCTGCAGGATGCTATTGAAATCTGAAACAAACCAAAATTTTTCTAAACCTCTAACAAAACTGCACTTTATCTCTTAAGTGACAAAAAGGGACGCATGCAATTTTGATCAAAACCAGTCCGGGAAACGGTTCGTCTTCATGTATGCAGCGCAACAAGTCGAAACAAAACAAACTGGTGCCATTATAAAAATGCGCACATCGAACACCGACTCGCGATGGGACTGGTTACATATATGGCCGGCGTCTGCCTCTTCAGGACCCGCGTGCCCAGCATTGCAGCCTTGTTTTTGTATCAATACATAATCATAAATATGTCGGGGCGCCCGATGGCTCGGCGTGTTCGAAGCGCTCGGCTATTTTTAATTACCCCGCGCTCGACGGACATGAACGCGCTTCGCCGCACTCGAATAAATCATTTTCCTCGGGCCCTCGCGATCTCAACGGGCTCGGATTGCGACCGTCGACCATGTGTATTATGTAAGTTACAGCTTACGCGGCGATAGCAATCGTGTAGCCCGACGGCAGGAGACAAGTTACAAGCGCCGGAACGCCCAAACAGCCGCGCGACAACTTTATACTCCCGGCTGCAAATAGGAGTGTTGAGCCCATATTGTTACCTTGTTGCTGATTAATGAAATTTTCGCTGTCGAATCCCTGCGCGTCGATCAGAACTGCTAAGCTCAGCAGGAGCAGGACCCGATATCGATACATCTTGACTTGTGGAGTTTCTTCTCCTATGAAATCATTAGATCTGCAATGAAAAAAAAAACAAAAATATTTAGGCGTTTGCTTCAAGTTTTCGTGGCGGAAATTTATCTCCTCGTTTGTTTTGCTATATTTGGTCACAATTTGCAGAATCAGTTCTGTGTCTGGGCTGAAATTTACAACTGAGCATTGTTCGCGTGCTCTTCCACGGTTCCCTGAACCGCCCATTATCTTGCAACTCAGCTGCGAACAACAATGCCTTAATTACAACAGATCATCGCGTTGTGTTTGTTTAACACGTCGTTTAATGACACGCGTAATGCGGCGACATAATCATACGTTTATCGGTGCAGCTTTTAAATTAATATCCTGCGGTTTTGCAGTAAGCGGCTTAAGTGGAGATTTACGCAGCTGCGAAGGGAAGGCTGAAGTTAAACCACTTACAGTATAAATTGCACGCTCCTAACAAGATTTAGCATGAATTTGATTATAACTTACACGCTTTGATTACGATAATATAACCAGTTTAACGCATGAATCTTGAATTTGCAATGATTTAATCATGAGGTGCATGTTTGGCTCAAAACTCTTTGCCCTTGCATTCATGTGTCAACAAACAAGAAACACTTTAAAAACACTTTTTTATATCGCCGTTTTTGTTGGTATGAAATTTATTATGGATTGTTTTTATTCCTAATTAGTGTTTACACGTACGCGTATGAACACGAGCGTTTATTGTGATGGTGACTTTGAAATTCCAAAGCAATGATTTTATACGATGAGCCGATTGAAGATGGCCGGCGTATTAAACAGAAGATTTTATTTTGTATCTATAAATACACGTCCATTAAGCGATCTGGCCAGATTGCGGTGCGGATGATAAAATATAAAATTTTGCGTGCGCGCTGCATCTGGAAGTACCTTCATAAAATGAATTGCTAATTGCTCATTCGTACAATAATGTACGTGCATTTTTCATATCTGTAAACATAGTATACGGGGAAATAACTGGCGACTTCAACTCGCCTGAAATTGAATACTTTAAAGCGCGAGTTATCTTAAATGCAATTTTCCGCAATGGTGCGGCAGGCACATCAGACAATGCTAATATCGTAATTATTTCAGGACAATTGAATAATCATTATTATCGATTATGCTCGTCATTCATGCATCGATACAGCCGACATGAACGTGATAAGTGCCGCGCGTCTTCGCGCCTTAATTGTTTACGGCCGGCTTCGACGAAGACTTATCGAAGCGTCGCCGCGTAATTCTCACAAGACGTGGACGTGGAAGGATGCGCGCGCGGAGAAATAGACGTTTATGTTACGGTCACAAGGACGCGTACTTGAATCGGCGAGACGAAAACAAAAAGTGATGAAAAACGCGCGGCATTTCAAGAAAGCTTTTTTCTGTGCGCGCGTTTTTTTTTTTGCGCGTCCGTTTCTTCTTCACCAGCTTCACACAGTCTGGGCTATTCCAGTAACTCGCCGCGTTTTGCCCACGAGCATGGTATAATTGTGCGTCGCGAGTTTTATTAGATTTTAAACGTCGTAGGCTTCGTTTTTTGCTGCCGCGCGCGCTTTTTTTTTTTTGCTCCGCCGACATCCTGGGGCAAAGGTGGCCCTGCAAAACGGCGTGAAGCCGTCAAGTACGCATGATTAAAACAATGCACGCAAGTCATTATCGTTGCGTTTTATGTTCTATCGTTGACTTTAATTCGCTGCCTGGCGCGCGAAACGAGATGAATGACGATATGATGCTGACTGTTGCATGTTGAATGTTAAATGCTGAAACATCTTGGCTTGTAATAGCAGAGACGAATTAATGATCCACACTTGCTACATTTTTTTAATGTCCATCAATTTTCCACGGTAGTTAAATTAAATTTATTTTATTTTATTTTTTTGCATAAAATGCTAATTTTAGACGTTATTAACAAAAATCTCCGACTAATTACTACACGGAACAAGTCATCATCAATCTGCGTGTGTAATTTACTCTTTCGTTCATAGAATTATTTGATGATTCCAACATCCTCGATCGAATTCGTCATTATCATCTTCGAATAAAGGTTCATTGCCATTGCAAATCATCCCAATGTCAACTCTCACAATAGATGAGGTGGAATCATTGTTTTCAATCGCTTTCCGCCGATATATCGAGATCAATATTGTGTGGCTATTGGAGCGATTTGTTTCGAATTGTGAATAAATGTATTAATTTACGTCTGTGCGCGCAAGTTCATTGCCATCACGATGATGCTTCAACATTCGCGTAATAACTCACGTGCCGCGGTGCGAAATCACGCGAGCCCAGAACAATTCAACAACTCTTTCCTTGCTCATCATTTCGCACAGCCTAACTGCGAAACGGAATCGCGCGGCGGGCGCGGACACACAATTAGAATACATACATAATTCAGATCAGCGGTGCGCCGACAAAAGTCCACTGCGGCGTCCTTCGGTCCGTTAACTCGGACAATTCGTGTGTCTGATTTCATATTCCACTTTGGTACATGTTAATTTCCGCCGATATTCGAATCTAATTCGCAAACGGACCATTTAGGTGTTCGTGAATGAACTTGAAAAAGTTTCATGTTTGTATTGAATTAAATTAATCGTTTTATTCTTGTAGGTAAAAAATTTAACGCTATGAAAACAACAAATCGAATGAATCACTGTTTTTTTTTTCGTCTTTATAAAGCTCTTCGTCAATTTTTACGATATTACGATATTAATTCCATTATTTTTCTTTGTGCGTTAAAAAAACGATTATTTAACGTGTAAAACAAACGAAACGTGATTCGGCAATTATTTTCAATTCATTAAAACACTATTAGTTTGTTGCAGAAGCTCAATTACCGACGCTCATCGTGAAAATATCGCGCATCGTCGAAGGTGACGTAATGCGCAAGACCAGCTTGATTAGTTGATTAGCTGATAGGCTGATTAGCGGCGAAACGTCGAACGAGGATGTTCCGTTCAGAGGTAATGACGAATTTCAAGAAAACGTAAATCACGTATGCTTCATCTACACTATGTGTACATTATGTGTGTGGAATGGAATGATAGCGTCATAACGAGGATGTTTTCGGATTTTTTCCTCTGCGCATCGTAAGTGCTTGTTGATTATTATTTATTTATGGTATAATGCGTTATATGAAGTTATGGAGATAATGATTTTACATTGCGATTTGTTGTGCTTGTATCTTTTGTGCGTAGCCAGCAAGAACGCACGAAGATGTGAAGTATATGAAGTAAGAGTTATGCAAGTGGAGGTCGCGTACTTGAACTTGCACTTCGTATTTTGAGCGTTTAACAGTTTGTCTCGAGTTTATCGACTTGTTTAAACTAAATAAATTTCGCATCTGTCTGTTTCGTTTGGTTGAAAAATTTCTTTTCGTGAATAATGGTTCAATTAAATTTCCTGAAAATATTTTGAATAGCTGCGATTCTTCAGCGTCGCTTACCGCGGCTCACATTATATTAATCATGCAAACCGTGACGGTCCACCATGGTGGATGCAGCTTTTTTGCGCCGTCGATGAATGCGCTCGATCGCCTGCCGCACACGAGCCGGTCGCCGCACGCAACATTTTTACACTGAGCTTATTTATATTTCGTCTTTTACTTTGCTTTACTTTGCGGCACTGAAAGCACGATGCGCATCTCCGCATCTTCGCATCTTAGTAGCGCACTTTGGTAATCTCGGCTTTTTTCCGCCGCGGCGGCCGCTCGAGAATTTTCAATTTATTTCGCCCGCTTTATCCGTCCATTTTCCACTCCGCAAATCGTTATTTTTTTTCCTGTTATTTACCGACTCGATCACGCTCGCTATTGCAGGTAAATTGTTTAATTTTTTCGTGGCAACCAAACGATGAATTCAAATCCACCACAAAAGTACTACGCATGCATGAACGTGAACAATTACCAAATTGATTCGCGTGTTTTTTTTTTAAGTTCTTTGCCTTCGTCCTGCCAGCGCGCATTCCTTGTCCATGTTGCGCGAGTCGTTATCAAGTCGGTAATTTTTTTCTCGATGCAAATTAAGTCCGTATTTACGGCCCCGATACGGCCGCGAAAGAGGGCAAATAAAAAGCGACACGACACGGAGACTGCAATGCACTCATATGTAATGAACCCGGCCTTTCCAGCGAGAGACAATTTCAGTTGCTCCCTGGTCGGATGGAACGCATTTATCCGCTGTCGCCAGCAATTAAAAGTTTAATTATTGTAATATAAGCTCATTAATGCGTCTTTCACACGACTAATTAAAATTTACAATTAATTTAAAAGCATAAAAATTTATATTTTTTTTAATTTGAAAAAACTCACCTGTTTCAGTTTTAAAGTATCGTAGCACTATTACTCCCAAGCAACCCTGTGGCGAAGTCGTCGGTGATGATAATCCTCTTCTGCTTCAACCTCAGCTGCTCAAGTCTGCTCAATTGCTTGAGCCAGAAGGCAGTGTCGGAAACTTGGAAGATGCTAGACTTTTCGCCAAGACAGTTTTTTCTGCTTGGTCGTGGAATCGGCAGATCGCGTTTTGCGTTCGCGGACCGGCGCGCTTTGTATTTATAAATCGCGCGCCGGCCGCATGCATGCCAAAGCCCCCACCAGCCGGCGCCGGTGCGAATTTTTCGCCCACCGCGCGAATCGCCATCCCGATTACGAATTCGAACGACATTCCCAGAAATCTTCACTCTTACGCATCGATGCTTACTGATTACTGACCAAAAACGCAATTTTTCTACGCGAATCTAATCCCTAAACGAATAAAATCACCAAAAGTTATTGGAAAACACTTCGAATCAAGGATGTAAAACCCAATCAAAAAACCTCAATGATGAATTAACAATCGATTCAATTATGCATTCAATTTGCAGCATTACATCTAATATTGTAATTAAAACGTCGTTTATTTCGACGGATACTAAACCTCCGTATTGCGTAAGTTTTAATGGCTCCGAAACGCGCTCGAGATGCGCACGAGAGTCGAAACAATACGGATCTATATAATTTTGTTATTTGTATTGTAGTTTTACTCAATTTTCTTTACGATTGCGTCGAGGCAACGCATTACGTGTGTTTGCGATTTCGTTTTCAGTACAATAAAAACGGTTACAATAAAATCAAGTGTCTACAAAGTATTTACAAATTCAAGCCGATAAAACTACATTGTTCATAAACGCGTCTTCCTAATAAACTGTTGATTTTATTTAGTTTTACTTCACCAGTGCACAGGTGCATTGTGATAATTGGCACCTTGCGTTGAATCCAAACTTCCCATCCTCTAATTGAACGTTAACCGCAGGTTTATCGTTTTATGACGTTCTAAGCCTTCGCGGCGACGCTAAATCGTTTGTTTTCTTTAGTCGCGTGGGGCTGCCGCGTTCGCAGTCAATAAAAAATATAAATATCTCACAGTTGAATGTTTAAGACCTCGTAAAAATGATTGCATCCAGCGAACAGTGTTGTAATGTCTGCCCACGATTCAGAGCTACTCGTTCGATAGCGCCATCTCTCATCGAAGCGCTCTAAGGTGTACTGCTCAGCGCGCCCCCACGCATTGCCAGGAAGATGCGGGTTTGACAGCATCAGCATCTGCGCATCTGATGATGATCTGTTGATGAGTCACACGAAAATAATAACCATTAGCCGTTACGACGGGGCATTTTCCGTGGCGCAAATGTTGCACGGATGACGGAAGAAATAAACGCGGTTGGATGTCGCCGGCAGAAAACGAGGAAAATCTGAATAATCGCCGAACGTAACTCTACGCAATGGCAATGAAAACCGTTGCGCTGTTACGATTATGAGGTGGACGAGTGTTATTGTTATTGGTTTTCACGCTGTACGCAACTTTGCATTTCAAATGCGCGCAAAGTAACACGGCTAATAGAAAGATTGATTTGAGGTAGTTGCAAGGGCTGTTAAACAAAGAATGTGCAGAGAAATAGGGCGATAAATTTAAAGCTGCCAATTGCAGCATGTAATGTGCGCGTCCACGCGAAGAAAAAAGCAACGAAAACACTCGCACGCTCGTTACGCGTTGTTTTTTTTTTATGATGTGTTCGCGTTTGCGTCCTCAGCATTCGCGAAGGGCTGCAGTATACACCGGCAGCCATGAAGTTCAACGCAAAGAGTTCATGACCTCTTAACAAGTTTCGAAGCGTTTTGGTGCCTGCGAGCCTGCCGTACTTACATGCCGATACTTCCCAGTCCTTAACGCCGCGCATTTTTTTGGTGTCTTGTGCGAATATTGCGGATATCTGCTTGCGTCAAGCGGGTTGTAATTGAATTCTCGTGTTTGGTCAAGTCTTAAATTTTCGGCGTGACGCAGCGCATAGGTACTTGAACTTGAAATTTTGTGAACGCCGGAATTTTAAGCGAGATAAATGAACTTATCTGCGAAAAATACCGATACTCCAAAATTTATTGTTGTAATTTTCATTCTTATAGCGCTTGAACATGATTCTTAGGCTGTTAGAACACAAAACAATATTTTAACGTAAAAAGGAAACATAAATAAAATAAATAAAGTAAATCACGCGTGTGGTTTTTTCGGCGCTTTGTGCTGCGAGGAATACTAATACAAATGCGCACGTATGCGAATAAATTTGACTGCGTTTAAGGAGGATTTAATTTAAATTGCGATTTTTGGTACTCCTGAGGCAAAAAAAGACGCCGTGGATCGTAGATAAAGATCTTATTGCGGTTTTTGTGCGTGTACCGTTCATCCGGTTGCGTTCGTGCGGAATTCTTAAATCATACTCATATTAAAATTGAAGTTTAACATTAAACATTGATGAATTAAGTACATCATGTCCTGTCAAATCAATGTTTGATTAAAACACAATAATATTAATTTAAATTCTATGTGAAAAACAGTGTACATCATTTATTTTCTGAAAGATACAAATTTTTAGCAGTCTAGGATTAGATTTACGAGTTCATAATGTAGCATATGCAAAGTGCGGATGTTATAACTTTTACCACGACTAGTTACTAGAAGATATTGAATATTCATGAGTCTCCGCATATATTGGTCACGGCAGGAGCACATCATGAAAGGTATAACTTAGTTTTTAACTCAAACTAAAGCTTCGCCAAAAATTTTGCGTTAAATAATCTACAGGTGGCAATTACAGGTAGCTACAATAAATTAAGATACCAAAAGCATCATTTCATGCTTAAATTCATCCACGAGCCCGGCTCAATAAATTCCTGCACGCGATTAGATAAGCGGCAATTTTATTTGCAGTCATCTGCGAGTTGATGGCTTGTTTATCGAAATTGATGGACTCAGGGTGCAGAATTCGCTTGTCGCGCGTGTTTTTCGGACTCGACGCATCGTCAAGCTCGTCCCATCGATTTTATGGACCCTGTTAAATTTTACGAATTTCGATCGAGGCGCAGTTTACGCGAATAGTTTCCTGAAACACATCGAAATGGGCATGGCGCACTTTATTGCTTGTCGCGTGATATGTGAATTTATTCCGACTTTTCGGTGGGCTTGGAGGATTTTTATGTTGTCGTTAATGAAGCGATTCGTGTAATGGTCGATCGTTTCATGTAAATCTATAAATTGCTACAAATTTGTCTTCCACACGCGTTCCCACGTATAAATTGTTATTAATAAAACTGTCATATCTTTTTTTTTGCTTAAAATAAAAAAAGTGAGTGTTTTCTTCATTTGACGCATTTGCATAAACGCTGCGCATTTAGTCTAAGCACATACGCCATTCGTATTAATTAACGCGTTAATTAACCGCATTAAACAAACATTAGCCGAACCCGGTGAACAATGTCGAGGGCGCGTACGTGAATCCATCGATATGCGTCTCGCACGATTTGACAAATGTAATGCGCGAATGTGATTACATTACATTACATTCGTGCGAAGACGTGCGGCGCATGCAAAGCGTGTAACGTTTTTCCTCGTCAAGATATTCGAATCAATTTGAGTCTTACATTAAACATTTGTGGATTAACTTAAATGTTCGCGACTGTGCTAATCGCTCATCTCGCAATACCTGGCGGTAATAACTTATTTTCATTGTCTGCCGTTTCACCTTCATTTTCAAACTTTTTTCTGCTTTTTGTAGCGTCGCGTTTGCACTAATCGACGCAAAAAATCCTCAAATTGTCAGTTTTTCATGGAGACATGGAGACACCTCACATTGCTAATGATGTCTAATATCCAACGTTTCTTCTTTAATTATTATATTGTTTTTGGGATGAGTGTGTGTCTGAATAAATTTAACGCACATTTAACTTGCAGGTTTCGGTTTCAATGGCGATATTAAACGAGAATTCGCAGCGTTAATCAGATAATAACTCGGAAATAAAAATAATAGAGCAATAAATCTGCGAAGGTACTTAACTGGTTAGTATATGATGATGGCATCTTTGTTTCAATCATAATTACATCGTAATTGTTCCACTTAATTATCATCGACGTGCATTGTGTTGGTAGGTATGATGTGCGATGACATCAAATCATATGTGATGTGGGTATCTGTTTGGATCACGAAGATCACGACTTCTCTAACAAGCGAGTGTCAAAACTTCAGGAAGACCCATCCATCCAACCTCAACGGATTAGAGGATAGAGTAATTATTCGACAATGAATCGGCTGCCGGCGCAAAAACCAGAAACGCGTAAAAACAAGAACGTAATAATGATCGAATGAATAATAAAGTTTATATTCGAGTCGTATGAATTGTAGATGGCAAAAACATTAATCGCGCGAAGAACACGAGTGATCATAAATTTAAATTACGCCGTGATGTACTCGTACTCGTACTCGTAAGTAGCATGCGATGATGTACAAGGGCGAACGCTGGCACGTTCTTCATCGTTTCGGAGTATTTTTCGGCTGCGTGTGTTAAACAATCATCTAATTGTTGTTATCCGCTGGCCTAGGCAGAAGTTTTCCTTATGTATTCACTGTTTTCACACTTCAAAAAAAAAATTAATTAAGGTATAATTAAACTGTTGTGGACCAATTTATAAACTATGGAAGTATTACTCATACAATAGGTTAATTACAATATAGACAATATTGAATATTGAATATTCAGAAATAATTTCGCTATCAATGGATTTTTTCTCTTTGCGATTGAATAGCTACATGACCTAACTGATTTACAAGTGTAATTAAGCGTATGAATTCACATAGCACATGTGGGCGTACCGTTCAAAGTCACAGTTGACACGATCTGTTCAAGATCCTGCCGAATCGCATCGCTATTATCATGTCCTGCGACTTCTATTCAAATTTCTTATTATAGATGATATCTCATCGATCATAAGCATCATGCGCCAGCTTCTGCTCTCAACTCCGTCATGGCTATAATAAACAAATTAAAATCATGTTAATTTATATGCAAAGTGATATTAAATGATTAATTTCGAGAACGATACGTATGTCGATTAGGAAACCAATGACGAAATGTTACTAATGGGATGATTTAAGACCGTAAACAACCAAGAACACACGCGGATTTTTATTAGGTGTTATGTTGTGTTGTTGTGATTAATTTTTTTTTCATCACGAAGAAGAGAAATAAAAAACAGTTAAAAATAGATTGTAACGTATAAATATAACGGTACAGAAGGAGTTTTGATGCTGAATGCATTCGCATTCCATTCTCCTTCTCCTTGTTCTTTGATCATTTTTTGCATAATAACAATGACCATGCATTTTGGATTTTTTGCAAGCTGTACATACGAAACAATGCACTTAGGAAGAAGGGCAATAACAGGAAAAAATTAATTGGCCGGCAAACGCACGGACACGCGCGATTAATCAACCTCTTCGGCTGTGTTTTTTTTTTGTTATCCATCGCAGGTTGTGACCGAACAAGAGGATGCCTTCTTTCTGGCGCGTCTTGTTTTCTTACAGCAATGTCGTCATACTACACTCATGTACTCGCGTGGCATAACAAGCATTATGCGTTAAAAATATCCATCCACTCATAACTTCCAGAACCCATGCACTGTGATCATGCAAAATTTCCACTCGCTGTTTTTTTTTTATCAGGAACTTTGCTCTTGTCTCTTCTGCGTTTTATCTCTGCACTTGCTGAGCAAGGCAATCGAACTTGTTCAAGTTTGGTTACCGCATCAGTGGCCCACAAATATTTTGTGTTCCTCCTTACCTGTTTCTTTTTCCGTCTCACTCTTCGTGCTGCAGGTGAGCACACAATGACCAAAAAGCCCCAAATGAACTTGACCGTGGATGACTCACGACAAATGAAAAAACAAGCTTATCGTAGCGCATATTTCATAATCATGTCTTTTTACTTTGTGGCTTGTAAAATACGCATTTAGCATCGGTGCGAACACAATTCATTAGCGGGATTTAACTTTGTATTAGCACCTATTGAGGTGAATCTGCGGGTCATCATAAAATTAATCGTTGACAACGCGCACCGAAACGGTGTTTTGTGTCGGAAACATACAATTTTTCGAAATAATCCGCTAAATTCGCCGGGTATTTTTCAATTACTATTCGTGTATATGGAGGATATTTCTTCGAGGGTATCGTCTGAGTACGGCTTTAAGCCGTGGATGCAAATTTATTGCGACAATTTAGATTTCGCGCACGCACGCGGCCCGCCAACTGGTCGCGAAAGCAATTTGGTGTACCGCGTGCAAGTCGTCGGAGTGACCAGATTAAAACGTGAATTACAACAGCGATAATAAAAAATACCACAACAAATGAGCGAGATCGAAGAAAATCGAAATCAAAGAGTTTTAAATAAGCGGCTGCGGGAAGAAGTACTTAAGTACCATTATTAAATATGTTTATCACATTACTACCATTAATTTATCGGCGAAATTCCCGGGGTTACAAGTGATGAAGCACCTACGCACGAGGACATCTCAAGAAAACCGCAAATAAAGCCGAGTGTGGTGCCGAAACCGCAAATGGGTTGGACACATCCATGGAGTCAACTGAAATGTACACTCTGGAGCAATCTCAACGCCAAATTAATGTTTGAACAAGGCGCTGGACCACCGAAAGGCCCATCCGATTTCCAAGAAATAGATAGATGAATGTGGCGCTGACAAGTGCTGAATTTAAGTCTTGAATTAATTTTGTGGTCATGACAAAAGCCAAAAAGCCAAGCGATAACCGTTCTCAATATTTTATTAGTGAGATTATACAAAAACCTCTCTATTATGTTGTTGTTACCAAACCCATGCCTTAAATATATCAGTTCCCGTTTTTCCATTAGTCAACGCATGCAAATTGACTCTAATAAGTTAATAATGTTATTCATATCACCTGAAACAACATTACCTGGCAAAAAGAAGATTAGCGAAACGGTCCAAATTAATTCTTCGAAACATTAGCTCCAATTAATTCCCAGCCAAATGTATCATTATATTAAGTAAATGCTGATTTATACGCTCATAGGCGACAATTTCGGCTGTATGTAAATTGCGCAGTGTTCGAATTATGCAAAAAAATTATAAGAAGCAGCCGCTTGCGATGTGGCCCATGATGATGGCCGAAATGCAAATGTTAAAACGGGGCCGATACAACGGGATAACGGTTCCACGATCGCCTGCTTCGATTTCGTTCGCGACGGCCGAATTCCATTGTGTGTTGGTTGTTAATAATTGTGGGTTAGTAGCTTGGATATAAATTTGCGTCGCTAACGTCTTCAGCGTGGATTATGGCGCCGGGAGCTTCGAAACATTCATCATTCTAAAACTTCGAGTTTAAGGTTATTAATGGCGAATAAAAGGATAGTAATATAATTATTAATGACGATGGGAGATAATAATAATATATTTGCTTTTGTTTATGGTGTGTACAAGGTACGCCGTAAAATCCGTGAATTTTAACGCAGTTAAAACTTTTCTAGACTTTATCGTCTGTTAGTTGACGATAAGAAACTAAGCACTGCTCTTCCAAGTATTGAAAATTCTGGAAAAACTCGAATTCACCCTTGGTCTTCCATGCACACTCATTCAAACGTCAAGTTTTGTCCGATTTTGTAATGGTTTCCAGAATTGATCACAATCGAAGCCAATTTGAATCGCGCTTCGTCCTTGTCGGCTATTTGAAGGCGGCAGTAGACAAATTTGCAGCCGGTGCGTGAGAACTCGCGTTTGCATGCGTGATTTACACACAGCGTCCACGAATGGAATTCTATAGAACCGTAATTCGCAATTCGATAGCATTGATTGAAAAATGCGCGTGTTTCTGGGGCCGAACAAGCGTCGAATGAACTAGATTACAACAAACAGATAAACAGCAAAAAATATTGATATTTATAAAATTCCATATGCCATGATTGGTTTCATGGTAATCAAAGCTCTATCTGCCTCATCTAAGTAGACTGTTTTCATCCTAAGATTCCTGATCAAATTTACATTTTGCGATGGAGATCGCGCATGGCTGATGCACTTGTTCGTTTATATTTATCCCTGGAAGCCCTGCTGGCTTGAATTGGTCGATTGGCAATGTGTTTTGTTCATGCATTATTCATAAACACTGTTCTTGCTACAATGACGTGCGGTCCAAGCATGATAACAAATTAGCGCTGGTGCATCGCGTGCAACAATAATTTAATTAGCTCGCCTAATAAAACTCCAACTTTACGCATCTTATAACATTTAAATAACAAATATTAATGAGCCCTATACTCGTTCACAATCCACCTTGGAAATACTTTGCGATGTGTGCCGATTTAGATTAAAATAAAACGTTGATTTAATGTTGTGTAAGATGGGCCACGCAGGACGGCAGATGGAACATGCAAGATCTGCCAGGCGACAAGCTGTGGTATCATGTGTGCGCCATGATGGGGCACATGTTTCGCAAGTTGCACAACATCCCAGCCGCAAATAGTACACAGAAATGTAAATGAAATATCATGAAGTATCTTAATAAAGAGACGCTAGAAGTAGAAGAAACTGAAAGGAAGATGTAGTAGGAATGTGCGGCTACACTGGAAATAATGTTCCCGTTCGATATAGCAATCTGCAGTAAAAAGCTCTTGCTTGGAAAAGGCAATATCGCGTGTCAGGCACAAGTCCTGACCTGGGTTAACAATATAATTTTTATGCATTTGTATTATGGCTCATTCGGAAGCGGCCGGCGCTGCGGGCGACGTCCGAATATTAAATGTCGTATCACGTTTTTCGTTGTCACTGGAGATTTTATGAACATGGGCTGCGTTTACCGTTTCGCAGCGGTGCAATTCCGCATACGCGACAATTCTCGCAAATTACACAACCGAAACCATCCAGAATGTTACCGAAAATAAATAAAAGGATTGCTTTATGGCACAAGCTTCGAAAGACGACTGTTAAAACTGAAATAAAATTAGCATCCGCGTGAAATCGGTCTGTACCAGAGACGAAAACACTTTACTCTACAATCGATATGCGCGAGTACCTTCTTCGGATTGCGATTCGCGGTTTTTACCAATCTTGTCTGTCGATGGCAGGCGATGGCAGTGTAGTTGAATAACCGGATCGCAGCCGTGACCCACGCGTTCTGCTAAGCACAGTCACAATCGCCGACCTTGCATTAATTTCGACACCTTAAGAATTTTCCAGTGCTTTACAATTGGTAAAGTTTATTCGCTAGTCCGTAATGGTCAAGTCATGGTAATGGATATACCATGATTTGGTGACAAAGTGGAAAGGTCTTCTTTGGAAACCAGAAGAATATTTCTTCAAAACGGATTAATTTATATAACTGTAAAATGCATTCTGTGTGAATGAATGATATTGTAATAAAAACAACACTTGCTGAGCTTGTAGGAGCAGCCCACGCGAAATTACAAGCTGCTTGCCAGGCTGGTCAAGTTGAAGGAGTTCTTCGAGTTCTTGAGTTTGTTTAGCATCGGAAATTTCCAAATTTGCTGCGTCATGTATGCTTTTATCTTTTATGACTAAAAAACCCCGTTTTGCCACTTGGTACTTAACATATTATTTCAAGTTAGAAGAAAATGGAAAGCGCTATTTGATTGAGAATTGTAAGAAAAAGAACATTTTACTAAGTAGTTTAATTTTCAAATTAAAGCATTGTAGAGAACAGCTATCAATTTCCTTATATTCCCAACTTGCTATTCAATAACAATATCAGGTCATATCTTCATTATTTGCTTATTATAATAAACATAATTTATTTGTATATAATTCGTACTGTGGCACCGGGCCATATAGTTTTAATAAGCGCATGTGACAATACCTACGGCACTTCAGTGATCACATTGACGATTTCGCACGCGGAATTCCACTATTGCTTATCAGTATTGTATAAAGAAGTTGCATTCGCTGAGTTGGCTATCCTGCATTCAACCTTGTTTGTTGCAAATAGTGCGCGTTGTGTTGCAGCGTGCGCGAAGTATTATCACGTGTCCTCGCGTGCCGCCGCTGATTGCGCGATGTGCGCAGCGCAGTTTTGTGCCGGTCGTTGGTTAGGCCGTGTGTGTTTCTCGCGTCTATTATCGTTTTATTTTGTGTGTGTAATTCGGTAAATCGCGTTCATTTCAATCGTCCCTCGACTGCATTTAGTTATTACAGCGGTGTTTAGTGATTATTAGTACATAATCGGGTGTTGAATATACAAAATCGATCATTTTCTTTGCGTTCGTTGTGCGTATTGCAAGATGGCCGCGTGCTATTAACTTGTTTATACTGAATGCACGCGAGATACAGGTAGCATGAATCGGCAACGTTTGTTGTGATCGTTCGGTGTATTTTCGGTTGGGAACCTGGACAATGTTCTTTATAGAAGCCGAGAAGGAACGGTAAAGTGCAGACTTTATTTAATTTTTGTTTCTGAAATTGTTGTCTCTGTTTAATTCACCTATTCATGCATGTATTTTTCTAGAAGTTTCATTCATACACGTGCAGTCAAGTCGACTTTGCCTAGGACGAGGCAGGACAATATCTTACCTTGTTATTGTTGTGAACATACTTAACTAGCTGTGTAATACTACTGTATTTAAAAAGTGGTTCAATTTTAGTTCTTGGTGAAGTGTGCACCAAATATTTGCCCGAAGATCATCTTTTAATGGAGGGCATTGCACATCATTGACTTGGCTACCAGCAGTGGCGTCTGTCCTGTCCATGTTCCAGCGACCTTCATGCACCGCGAGAAATAAAGGTAAAGTGCACGTTTTCATTATTTTTCTTTACTGCAATTACTGTTTATATTTAATTTCATTTAATTCATACGTGGCGGTTAACTTGGCATCACATATATTTTTATTATAATATCAAATTTGTATTGCACTTCCACTATTATGATTAAATTTTATAATATTTTAGAATTTGGAGCGTAAAACACCCACTGATGTATGCTGCGGTGGAAAATACACTCGACAATCTCCTGCCATTTGATTGAATCGCACATATGATCGGCTTTCCAACTACATCATCCAAAGGGACGCCTACCAGCCTGGTGGAAAGCAACTGCGTTTCGACGGGATGCGATACCTGCATATTTTGTCGCCAATCTTACGCCCACACATTATTTTTCAAACTACAGTAGAATCTTGATAACTCGAACCTTGTTAAGTCGTAATCCTCAGTAACTCGAAAAGATATGCTATTCCCTTCCGCTGAACCCCGAACGACGCACTAACTCGAATTTTTTAGACTCAGTAACTCGAACAATAAGTTATTTCCCTGTGAGGCATTACTCGTACATTTTAATACTCAGTAACTCGAACTGCAAATACTACCTCAGTAAGTCGAAGTTCATAACATTTTATGATTTCTTACTCGAGATTCCCGGAGCTCAAAACTCGGGATTCCCGGAGCTTAAAACTCGTGGCAATAAAATCAAAAATAAATGTTCGGGGCTCGGGGCCTCTTATCTATTGTTTTTGTTTTGCACACGTGCAAGGAATGAATTCATTCAATAAACTTTCTAATTTCTAAGAAACACAGATGTTATGTTTCTTCATTTTTGGTCACTTTTGGTTAATTGGCTCAGTCAGTACATATTTGTTTGGCTGTTAACAAGCAACAACATGAATACAATACAGCAATTGATACACTACGAACTTACATTGAAAGATGTAATGATATCGAGTATCATATATTTATATATGAACTAGAAAAAATAATTGATAAAAATCTGTAAATGGCTTGAATCAAACGAAGATAACAGATTTTTATCAATTATTTAAAACATACAGTGTAAGTTCATTTATTATAATTATGTACTTGACTTTCATTTTATGTTACCTAATGTAATTTGTCGTAATAAATGTTCTATGAAATTGTGCCTTTTTATGTCGAAATTTGATGAGTTAACTCTTCATATCTCGAAATTCTTGTTAAGTCGAACACTTGCTATCTCGAATTTTTTTTGGTTTCCCTTGACATTCGAGTTATCAAGATTCTACTGTAGTACAAATAATGCGCAGAGGGAACGACACAAATACCTCCGGACCTTTTAACCACAAACGCATTCTTTTAGTTAACTTATAATTGTATATATTTAGGGACAATCAATTTGATGAATGCTTGTGGAATAACATGCAGTGTAAACCCTTTATAACGATACTTACCAAGATCAGTTGGTTTAAGAACGGATCTAACTCATTCAATCATTTGCCATAAAACCAACCTTTTGGTATGTATTTCTACGTTATTATACAAAAGGTTATCAAGAGTTTACATTGTATTGCACCTTTAATCGCTTCACGACTGGCAGAGTTGTCTCTGCGTCTTTGTATTGCTTGTTGTGCTAGTGGGACGTGTTTGCATTTAGTTTGTTGGGAGTGGTAATTAAGGGTACTTATTAGTTGCCGCACTGTGGTTGCCTAGCTTTAACTCGTGAGAGGTGCGTCTCCAGAGGTTTCAAATTAAATTCTCCGTCGGGTTTTATTTGTTTGTTGCAGGAATACAACCTGCAACCCGCGAAAATTAACATAATAAGGTGATTTTGTCACCCTTTTTCGTGAAATGTTTGTATTTTTTCGGATCTGCACGCGACCTAGATCGCTCAATAACTTCAACGCGGCGTGTGGAGATGCGAAATTAAATTCTCCGTTGGGTGGTATTTGTTTGATGCAGGAATATAACCTGCAACCCGCAAAAATTGGCATAAAAGGGTGATTTTGTCACCCTTTTGGCGAAATGTTTCTATATTTTCGTGTTTTGCGCGCGGTCTTGGCGGCGGAGTAACTTCTGCGTGGCGTCTGGAGATGCGGAATTAAATTCTCCGTCGAGTAGTATTTGTTTCTTGCAGGAATTTGACCCAAAACCCGTAAAAATTAGCATAAAAGAGTGATTTTGTCACCCTTTTTTCGTGAAATGTTGGTAATTTTTCGGGTTTGCACGCGACCTTGTTGGCTCAATAACTTCAGCGCGGCGTCTGGAGATGCGGAATTAAATTCTCCGCCTGGTGGTATTTGTTAGCGGTAGCAGTGACTCGATTCAGGGCACCTTACGAAACTAGGGTAAAAGTGACTCGTGTTCAGGGCACCGTAGGAACCCGCGAAAATTTGCATAAAAGGGTGATTTTTGTTACCCTTTCGCGTGAATTTTTTGTATTTTTTTGGATTTACGCGCGATCTAGGCGGCTCACTAACTTCATCGCGGTGTTTATAGATGCGGAATTAAATTGTCCGTCGGGTGGTATTTGTTAGCGGTAGAAGTGACTCGATTCAGGGCATCTTACGAGGCTAGCGATAAAAGTGACTCGTGTTTAGGGCACCGTAGGAACCCAAACAAAGTTGCATAAAAGGGTGAATTTTTCACCCTTTCTCGCGAAATGTTTGTATTTTTTCGTATTCACGCGGGCTGGGCCTCGGAGTAATTTCAGCGCGGTGTTTGGGGGTGCAGAATTAAATTCTCCGTCGAGTAGTATTTGTTCATTGCAAGAATATAACCTGCAACCCGCGAAAATTAGCATAAAAGGGGGAATTTTTTGATAGAGAATTTTTCAATCTTCCATAATCTACAATTTTCTAATTGCTATATCTTTTAGTTTAGAAAATATTCACTGTCGATAATTAATCGAGGAAATAAATTATCAAGCACCCACCCTTGCCCATTTTTTTTCTTATGAATTAAAATTTCATTCTTTTCGTATGCCGAGAAATATTGAAAGTAAAAGTAAATTTCGTGTATGTGTATTTCAACATTGTGAATTTTTAGTTTCGTCTTCTCAACTACGTGTTTATCAGTTTGTTTGGGTATAAACAACTTTTTTTGATCGACTGACGCGTGATATCGCTACATACCTGCCTTGTACCCGACTACGCGCAGCGCACACGGCAGTTGTTTCACCGCGTGGTCCGCAAGCGTGTTTCTCTAATCGCCACGCGTTTTGAGGTTTTAATTGGATTAATCGTCGGCTATCGGCAAAATGTTCGCAATGGTCATGTGTGCCTGATTTGTTTAATGATTTATGGCGATTAGAGTCTTCTTAAGTGAGAAATAAGTGTCCGTTAATTCCTGCGCGAGTTTTCAGTTGATAGAATATATTACAGGATAGAAAATTTCCTCATCAATGCACAGGTGGGTGGATAATTAAAATCTTTCGCGGAAAGTTAAAGCGGTTTAACTTAAATTGATTATTTAATTTGAGGTATATTAATTTTGTAGATTACGAACACGTGGTGGCATTTTTATCAGAATTCTTCGCGTTTCCGAAAATAACATGCTTCATTTAATTATTACAAGCACGGTTTTTAAAATTATTTGAGCATTATTAAAATGATAATATGCATGTGATCGACGACGCTTACTTTGCCGTCGGCTGACGGATCGGTCATGTTTTCGAGGATCACGTAAATAATAATTTCTTGTTGAAATAAAATCTTGAACGGTGAATAGTTTTTCGTTTTCGAGGCTCAGTAGATCTTAATATTTACAAAGAAATAGTTATTTTTATCGTCTTTAACCACTGTGTGGCTTCGCGCCGTCGCTTGCCGTCTGTTGATTTAGATGTTTTCCGCCAGATATTCTATCAATTTATGATGATGCTTCACCCGTCGGTGGTTACCTTATACAGTTGATGCTACCATCAATTAATAAATATATATTCTCAATATCTTAAAATTCATAATTTTCTGATGTTTTTCAGGCAAAATCTCTGTTTTTATATTAAAATATTGTTGGTAATTTGTAAATTTCCCTCTTCATATTGTGAATATTGACTTCCTTTGCACTTACTAAAATTTTCTTTTTGTAACACCCGGTATATTAGTTTTCCTAACAACACGTAGAAAATCACCTTTAGTTGTGAGTGTTCTCTATTTTGAACATGCAATTTTCTTTCTAGAACACCCTGTATATATGTTTTCTTTTGCGTCCGTGAAAATTTTGCTTTAGCTGTCGTTTTTAGTATTTTCCCGTTTGCACCTTCAAATTTCTTTCTGGAACACCCTGTTTAATAGTTTCCCTGATCGTCGAGTGAAAACAAGCGGCGTTTGTAGTGTTGAGAGTTTTTTGTTTGCATTTAAAAATTTTCTTTTGGAACACTCTGTATATTAATTTCCATTTTCAATCACCTAGGAAATTGGCTATTTACTAATTTCATTATTCCGGTATAACTTTATGAAGTAGTAGTACTTGATGGCATATGCGCGGCTGTGCAGGTCGTAAGTCCTGTTTCAATTTGGCGACACGTATTCTGTTGACTTGTAAAATATACCTACGAGCTTGCATTCTATTGTTAATGAATAAATAATAAGATATATTGACTTCTTTGATTTGTGTACCCCTTCTATCATTTCAAGAACAGGTATGTAAGAGAGTTCCCTCTCTCAGGGGATGATCCCCACTTTAAAAATTGTTAAGGTATCCTGTATGATTTGTGTATTCCTCCTCTCATTACAGGTACAGGTCAGAACTTGTAAGAATAGTTTTTAGAAATATTTTTACAAGTCCTTAAAAGGATGTTCTTATAAGGAGTTCTCCCACTCAGGGGATGATCCCCCACCATAAAAATTGTTGATATGCCTGAGTATTTCGGGGATGAAGCGCAGAGACATCGTAGCTGTAGGATGGGCCGGGAGCCATGAACAGCCTGTCCGTAGACTGTGTTATAACGACACGTGCCTAAAAATTTAAAAATTCCGTCAACCCTATTCTCTCTTTTCTTCCTGTACTCTCTTCTCTCTTCTCTCTCTTCTCTTCTTACTTCTCCTATTCTCTCCTGCTGCTGCTCTCTCGACTTGCTCTTCCACCATCTTCTACTTATTCCTATTGTTGCTCCGTACTCTACTCTTCAACTTATTTCTATATTTTTGTGGTATGCAACCCACATTTCTTTAATTTCTTATTGTTTAATAAAACTGCTATCTACAACTGAGATTCGAACCATGAACCACGAATCCCTAACATTCTAGCGTATGAACATGCCAGCTGAACCAGTGAGCTCTCATATCAAAGCCTATTCGTTTCTGGTATAAATGTTGTTGTTTTTGTTATCTTTTTAAAAACAACAGCATTTATGTACCTGTTATTCGCATTACAAACACGTACTATCATATGTGGTCTCTAAATCTAACTCTGAAAACGACAAAAAGGAAACATAGACAAATATACTAGCAAATGTTATATTAAAAATATAGTTTATTGCAACTTATACAATCCCAAGAGTACATGTTGAATTTTAAAATTATTTGTTAAAATTGAATTATTTTCAGAGTATTTACTTATTCAACGGTTACCTCGCTTTTCCTTAAGGTCTGCACGCCGCACTAGTCAGTTAATTCTAAATGTTGTCTTTGCCGATCGGTTCTAATTCAACAACCGACTTAAAATCACAAGAAACGCGCAAACTAGTTACGAAGATCGACTTGTGCACAAAACACGTGTGTACCGAACAACATCGCACGATCGACTATACAAGGAAAAGACTGCTATATCTTCACTACGTGAACAAAGCAGATATGAAAATGATAAGAATTTCAATACTCACAATTGAATGCGGGCACGATTGTACACCGACGTCACGTTGAACTCCTTGACATCTAAAAACAAACACAAATTAGATGCGCTGTGATTTGTGACTTTAATTCATTTTTAATTCGCTAAATTAACTACAACTTTATAGCACCTAAATATAAAGATAACAAAAATAAGATATAATATGGTAATAATATATTACCTACAACGTAAAATTTCTCATTACAATAGTCTTTAACAAATGTTGTATCCACAAAGGTAATATCCGCCTGATGAAACTCACGAGAAGACACTAAATGTGCGCATTTATGAAAACTACAAACACAATTAATCATAACTAAATTGTCATTAACTGCAGTCGATTGCCAATTGAACATTGGATTGCAGCTAGTGAGCCGCTTAGATCGCGCGCAAACCCGAAAAAAATAAAAACATTTCACGAGAAAGGGTGACAAAAATCAAGTTTTTATGCAAAGTTTCGCTAGTTGCAGGTCGAATTCAAGCAACAAACAAACACAACACGACAGAAAATGTAATTCCGCATCTCTAGACGCCACGCTGAAGTTAGTGAGCTGCCTAGATCGCGCGTAAATCCGAAAAAACACAAACATTCGATAAATATGGGACAAACCAAAAATAACCGACAAAACCACTGATCTGAAAACTGATCTAATTAGAGGCTAAATGTGCAGAAATAAAAGTGGATGCATTAAAATATCTGACGCAAAATATTTGACGCGAAATTAAAGTGAAAAATATAATTGAATTATAAACTTACGAATAGTTATGATCATCAGTCACCCCGTCACGACAGGTGCTGTAATTAAAAGAGAAGAGGTGGAAACATGTCAGAGAATTTAATAATATTAGATTCACACATCGCAGAACAAACACAATATGTGTTATTGAGTAAAAAGTTTCTTACACAAAGACAATATGAATAAAACAACATGGGTCATCCGACACCGAACATGCATAAGTAAATGCACAGTATGCACATTAAACGCGATCAAATTTCTAACATTTTTGTACATTAAACGCGCTATCAGTCAATAACATGACTGACGATAATAATCACAATTAAATAGTCGATTGATGAATAAATATAATGCAAATTTAGTCAAAAGAAACGACACGAGTCGCGCGAATTGCGCCTGGATTAACCAACGACCGGCACAAAACTGGCCGCAATCCACGAATAGTGCATGTCGTAGCCGAGCAAGCATCAACGCGATAAGACTTGAGGGTAATGATTAAGATGAAAGCAATACCGGCGCGACGATGACATGCGACCTTCATGCGCGAATTGCAGTAACAATTGTGCAGCTTTGGCACACTGATTCGGCAATCTGCGGCGTGAGGGACGACACGAGGTAATATGTGTTACATTTCGCACCGCGAATGCGATAAAAAAGAAGTGTAATTTGTATTCAAAACAGATACAATTCTCGTGCCGATAAATACAAGTCTATTTTATAATTTTTAGTTGATACTAATGCCATTTATGAATAATACAGATTAATATAATTAATAAAACATTACAATTCGAATGATGTGATTCTGATTTCTTATGCCAAAAGTTTGTCCGATTTTACATCAAATATTTAAATGATATTTAATTCGACAGAACGATACTGATTGAACAGCCGTAAAACTGAAAAGTAATTTTACACTTGGTAAGGAACACAACCGACAAGTGTCGAAATTGCAGGGGAAACACCAATACACGCTATGAATCAGAGTTTGATTAATCGAAAAATTTAATACAAATCCGAAAACGATCAGGATAATCGCCATAACTACAATTGTATCTACAGAAGGAAAAAAATGCATGTGATTGTAAATTGTATTGATGTATTTTCTATTCCACTTAAAAGTTGCAATCAATTTCAGCATTAACAGAAACATTATATTTTCATTACAAAATCAGTCTTTCTATTAATCAAAATCTAAACCTGATGCCTCGCCACCAACTCCATAAATGAATACGTTTTCTCTTCCATAGATGTAGATATAAAAGTATGATAGTAGTATATTTGGTTGGAACTATAATGCTAACTCTGCTACACTTAACTTAAACAGACAGAATGGATGTTCTTCCGGAGAGCACGATTCAAACTATTTGCAATTTACAGCTAAAAATGAATTGGAAACCAAACATTTTCCAAGGCTGATATGCTAAGATAGGTTATAAATACGTATTGCTAGATGATTTCGCCACTTCCAATATACTCTAGCGAAGAAATATACACTCATATTCAACATAATGTCTTTTAACAATTAGAATTAACTTAATGAAAAATATCGGACGTTGCTGAAAGAGTTTCACTCATCTTTGCTGACAATCACAATTTGCAAAGACGCGCCGCTGCACGCACTTTGCACCGCAATACAATAACTTAATTACATTAATATTAATAGTAAAGTACTAACTTATCGCGCTCCGGGTACACGGCAGACGATACGCTTTGAGCAAATTACATTGTACATCAAATTACACAACAAGTTACGAGTACCGAAGGTAAACATACCCGCCGGTGTTGCTGATGTTGACTTTCGTTTGGTTTTTTGGACATACATAAGATATTTATATTTATATAATAATGCCGTATCTTTACAGTGTGAGTGGAAACTCGAATTGTAATAGACTAGACGCCGCGCTTCATCGTAAAGAAGCCAGTGCGCAATGTAAAAGGTGCGGCGGTCTTCACAAATTTGATTCACGGTCCCTTTGTCTTTCGTTATTTGGATTGGCTCTGCTTGCCATCCTCCAACGACTGCGGCACTGGAAAAACAAATAATACTCGATTTATTGCATGACGCTCGCAGCCTACGATTGCCCCGCACATGATTAACGTTTTCGAGTTGCTAAAGTCTTCGAACAAGCACACACTCTTCGAGTGGTTGTCTGACAACCGGCTCGCGCACACCACTGGTACACGAAGAACGTCTCTCAGTCATGCGCCCCTGGCGTGTGAGTTGTAATCGTGTTGTGGCTAGGCGAATGCGGCGGTTAGCGTATGGTAATTGTAGGAAATGTTACACATTCAATCGACTAGTCTAGTGTCATCGGTATCGACTGCTAGTAGTCGCGCTGGTTCTCCTAGTTTTTCTAAAATCACACAAAATAATCATGTTTAGTGCCACGTGCGAACAATGTATCGTCATGCGGATTAGTGGAAACTAAGAAGCGATGTGGTCGCGACATGCCTTCAAATTGTGTTACAGAGAGTAAAGGGCGTTCAGTATCTCTAAAAGCGGAAGACGCACACGAACGTTAGCAATACATGCACAAACTTTACAATTCTTTTACAGCTACAATGTCAAGCTAATTTACATGCACAAGTTTACAACGTTCGCCACTCCTGTTAATGTCACTAACCACACCAAAATGAGTTTGATTGCAGTGATATTTGTAGTGTTAATTAAATAGTAGAATACTAATAACATACATATAGAAATTATAGCGTATTCTGGCAAATTTGGGTGGGTTTTAGGCAACTACTAGATAATGGCGGGCGTCGTCGTCACACCGTTGGAGGCATCTTCCTGGCCCTCTGCGCACATAACACAAATAATGTTTTAATTACAACATTACGGATTTCATCGCATACTATCAGCTAACATCAAAATGTACATGTTCAACACATACGAAGAGATTCCAACTAGGAAATGTACAACGATCATTATTTACTCGCTAGTTCTAGGTCTATTTCTAAGGTGAATTCGGTAGACCAGTGTCAAATTTACATTCATTCGTCATCGTAATGAAAAGTAATCATTGAGAAGTGAATCTGACACTGAATTATGTTATAACAGGATCCACATAAAAAGTGTACAATCATAGACGCATTCCCTATGGAATTAAGACGATGATCAACCGCTAAACGGGCGACTTTCAAAACGAATTTACAATTACACAATTTTAGCATGCCCCATGCGCCTGTAAGTGACATCACCTTTCACAGCCTCATCAACTCGTCGCCGGTCATCGACGATGAAGAAGGAGTTTAGCAGGAAGAAGAATCCGCCGAGCACCTCAATGAAGCACGTCAGTAGCAAGGCATACTGCAGCGCATGGAAGTCCGACTCCTCGGTGTTCGTAGATGATTTCGAGTCGGATCGAAGTGATACTTTCAGCGCTTCGGATATCTAAAGCAAGTTTGTATTGTATCAAATAAGTTTGTGGTCATTTGAGGATATACTCACGATTCCAATTAAGTAGGGGCTTCCCGCATCGCCCAACGCATGAGAAACAAGCAGTTGGACGCCTTCGGCTGTTGACCTCCTCGTCGGTAACACGACGTACTGTAATTGGCATTAATTTATTATTCAAATCAATGTTAAATTCGAATCAATACACCGTATTGTTAAAAGCATAGTGTATAACTGGTTGCATGCAATTAAGAAGCAAACGAAACTACTGCATTTCACAGCGCCTACGGTTAGATTACCCTACATACATAAGGCTGCAAGCGCGCGCCTTATTCAAACAAGCGTCACTACTTTCTGTTAATCGCATTATCTACTACTTTATCATAAGTTGGGAATTGTTATTAACTTCAAAATTACTGTTAGCAGTTAGACTTAAAGTGGCGCAATGTGAACGTGTTGACTCTTGGTTTCGTTTTGCTAATAATATTCACAAAATTTGGGCAATAGTCAGAGACAGCGATCGAGTTTTGTGCAAGTTTCGTTTGTTCGTATTGCAGCGAGAAATAAAGACGATTAACAATGAAGGGGGTGGGTTCGTGCGAGACAGAAAATGATAGACCACTGGCACTTGATGAGTCGCCAGGGAAGAATAAAAGAATAGAACAAAACAATGATGGAGAAAAATAAGATGGTAATAAAGTGGTTCTTACCAATAGAATGTCAGTGACTATTGCCCAATTGAGATTGAGCGAGACCTGACCAAGGAAGAGCAGTGTGAAACACAGGTACTGATTAATGTCTATAGTGAACATCGCGCCGCAAAGTAGCGGCGCCGACACCAGCAGTCCGCCGGCACATATGAGCGGATCGGCTTTCGGATATTTATGACTCAATTTTTGGCTTAATAAGCAACCCGCCAGAAGGCCGAGAATCCCAGCAACGATCGTTATCGCTCCGAATATTAATGACAAACTGAAACATAGAATCAACACACACAAATATCAAAGCAATTGTTTTAGCAGTTTCAGTAGCGTCGGCAACATGTTAGTAAGATTAGGTCAAAAAAAAGTCAAATAAAAAGAAAACAACGGTAAAACAAATCAATCCTAGAGGGCCGGGCAGCCAATTGCGAAACTCGTCTTTGAGCGGTGGCATGCACGCCTCGCTTACCAGCAGAATATCTGCAACGATGGACCAGGTGAGATTCAGTGAGGCCATTCCGAGGAAGATGCACAGGTAGCAAAGTGATGTGCTGTAAGAGGCGGTTACCAAGGCGAAGTACACCATGGGCGCCGAAAAAAGCAGCGCAAAGCCGCAGATTTCCGGGTCTATGTGCGGATGAGTGAGGCGCAGCCTCTGGGCGATAGCGCTGCCCAGCGGCACGCCGATTAATCCCGCAAACATCGCGATGATCCCGAAATTCAATGACACGCTATAAAAAAAGTTCATTTTGTTCACCATGTTTCAATACTATGCCGGTCCATCACGAACAATTTTAACCATTAGGAATGCTGTAATATCTGAAAGGTAAATGTTGCTTTCCTAAAGATACTAACCTATCTTGGTCGCCACCATTTCCAGAAGCGGCCATTCCCAAATGGAGCAACTTCGGGCCCCACCAGGCCAGCGCTCCAGCAACAAAGGCAACGCATGTGAATCCCATCGTAGACAGGATGAAACTCCGACTAAAATGACACAAAGACATTATTCATATTCTTACAATTAATTACGTAAAAATAACAATCATACTTAATTGACAGTGCTTTGAGGTCCTCCTTTAAAGGGCTAGTGGCCAAATGACCACTTCCTTCGCTCTGACCCCGCTCGGGGTCCTTCAGCACGAAGAGAATCAACAACACAGCCGCAATTCCCAAAATAGGTGTCACCCTTAGCGCGTATTGCCATTCCTCGAGCAATTTTGCTGTTTCCGATCCAACTATGTATCCCAGACCACTGAAAGATATCCATTGTTAATATCAATCATTAAAAAACTTCTATATTGAAAAATCCTTACCTTCCGACTGGGATAGCGAAGTAAAACATCGCCAGCATTTTGCTCCTGTTGTCGCCAACGAAAAGATCACTGATGATCGTCGGCGCAATAGTGGAGTAACTCGCTTCGCCAATGCCAACAAGCGCGCGGAATGTTGTGAAGGCAATGAAATTATCCATGAAGGAGCCGATGAATGTAGTCAAGCTCCAGAGGAATACGCCAAACGCCATTATCAACTTGCGGCTATGCCGGTCGCCCAGATAGCCGAATAACGGCGCGAAGATCATGTAGCTTAGGATAAAGGAAGTCTGCAGGAGGCCGGCGGGGCCATCCCCAATTTTATAGTAATCTTGCACATCTGTCAGAATGCCTGTGGAAAATACAAGAAAATCAGATTTAGTTCAAACTCAAGTATGACTCATAACGCATGATTCGGAATTGGATCAATATGACTAAAGATCATGGATTTTCCGGTTACAGACTTTTATAGTGATGTATCGACAATAAAGAAGCCAAAAAGGAATCATTTCACATCGTCACTTGTATTTGATAGAGTAAAAAATCATTTGCAGTTATTGCGTCGTTGCAAATCATGGAATGACAACAATTTAATTTATGCTAATTCCGCTCGGCACGTTTATATTTACTAGTTTCATAACTAATGCGGATTTGATAACTAGAATTACATCATGCCTGGAATAATAACATACTGCGGTATATATTACTAATAACAGCATGAAAATCACGCCATCAAACGTAAGAAAACCACCTGCTAACTTTCAAATAATTTGCCGCTTGAAATTCTTGCAATAGCCGACGAATCTCAAGTCAGCGGTGATAACAGCGTGCCAGGATTAAATTTTATCATCGGGTCATGTTGATCCGGCTCGTGTTTTGCAAAAGTGTCGCGATGGTCCAGACTCCTACGCAATCACCGCTCAGGCCACTTTATTAAACAATCACGACGCAATCGCTGCAATAATAGTTGCCTAGTCCCGAATGCCAACGCAGCGACGTCATAAATCACAATCTACAATACGAAAGCCTATGTGGCAGTAGAGATAACTAGAATAAGCAGAATCGTAATCTACAATGCGAGTGCGACACTTGATAAATACGGTTTTGTTTGCACGCTCATTACCGAACTTACTTACTAAGCGCTGTGCAAAGCATTCCGCGCTAAGATGAATGAACTTGTACGGTGTACAACTCGGCCACGGTGTGGAAAGTATTACTATGTGCTACTGTGGAGTAATCTGATGAATGCGTGTGGTATGTTTACGAACTATACGGTACTCGACGGTTCTGGCAGCACATTTTCATTCGAATCGTTGTATGTAGGTAGCAGTGGGACCCATAAGCCAAAGAGTTCATTTAATATTTTTTGAACTATCAATTTCTTGCTCTAGTTCGCGAAAAATATTAAATCACAGGTTACAGACTCTATTCAAGCGAAATAATTAATATTTTATAAGTACTACTTTCTTATTTAAAAGAGGATTTGCAAATCATTTAATAATAGTTTCAAAATATCCGCTTTAAGTACCAAATGATAAAAATAAAAATGTGGCGCAAAATCAAGTTCCAAATCGGTTTACAACCAAATTTACTATGCCACAAAAACCTTTTTATTTTTAAATCGACTAGTTCAAAGTCCACCGAATGTCTAGTTCAAATGCCTCTCAAATATCGCTTGATTCGTTAAACTAAATGAGTTGATAAAAGCGATGATAATATAATTCCCTAATATTTCACACGTTTTCCCACTTCGAACTTCCGTATCGCCTCGAGTCAATTGTAATAAACGAGACCTAAGTAAGTGGGCGAACAATGAAAATTGCGCCCGTATCTCGAATCTTCGAGAACTTCGCGTAAGTGCCGCTCGTGCAGCATTCAAAAGTAGAAAGCAATCGCTCTCCGACAAATGCGCCTCGTGTTCGGGCTCGGATTTCAAGTAGCGCGCCACGTCCTCTATGATGTGAACGCACTGCGGAAAATGCACTTGTAATAATCGCCCGTCCGGTGGTACCTACTACCAGTTGCTTGCGCAGTCGTCAATGCAAAGGTCACGTTTAAATAACGCCGCACAAGCATGCATCCTCAAGCCCTCACAATGAGCGCGAACGATAACGAAGCGAATAGGAAACGTGCACTCGTGCGAGTTATAAAATTATTTCTTCAAACACTCGTCGGCGGCGTACGAGAGATTTGGAAGACGGCCGTGCTTGGGATTTAATGGTTTTACATTAGCACCTTTCTGACCCTAGCTAAAATCTCACCGCGCTTGCAAGATGCAAGAGCGTTAAAAGGTCTGAAAGATCAAGTGTCGTTTCAATCATTCAAAAATTCCACGCGCTGCGGCCCTCGGTGTAGGGTTTAATAAAACGTTAGGTATGTCGGGCGAGTGCACACGGCGAGAATAGAGTGTTATTGCCAAGAGCACTCTTTTTTATTGCTCTTAACGGCTACGCGCAGATAGATGTTACCGATAATCGGATGAATCGCATTAAATTTGAGTTTCATTGGTTTCACTGTACGTTAATACCGTATTGATGCTATTAAGACATTCATAGACATACAAATGAGTAGGAAGTTTCTGGATTTTTTTTTTGTTAATCAATGAAATATTTTCCACACAAGGCTACTTACCATATGTAGTAGTTCATATACATTATTCGCATAAATTTGACATACAAATCAAAATGTTTCATTGTCTTTCATGCAACAAAGTAATTCAAAAGTGCATTATATGAAAATATTGTTTAAACGTTTAAACTTGTTTTTTACAAATTGAATAACATGCATGACTATCAGTTGTCTTCTTTTTTCTCTTCCGGTTTCTTATGTTCTTCGCGGGTCCATAAAATAAAAGCGTTTTCACTGAAATTCGTGTTTAGTCGAATTACTAATAGGTTAAAGAATTAAGGTATGCAAATATCAAATATTTGCGTTTGATGTCTGTCTGATTTCGCAAATAAACAAGTAAACAACACTCCAGACAAAACAAGCTAATCTACAAGTTAAAATGGAGATTTTCGACCAATGTGTCAAAAATTGAAACGAGAACGGGTAGGAATTATTAAAGTGGTAATAACAGACCGTTTTTCGTACCTGTCTGTTAGCATCAATAGTGAACGTACCCGCTGACAGAAAATGAAACCAATGAACTTACCAAAGTGAATAATAAATAGCATAACAAGCGATGGTCGGTCGGTCGGTCGGTCGGTCGGTCGCGGAGCGCTCCAATTATATACTTTTGAATACAGTCTTACTTTTACACGCCAAACCTATCCAGTCAATAAACTTTCGTCGATATGTTCCCATTTTTTTCGAACTCTATATACATTATTATGCTTCTTCAGTAAAAGCAGTAAAATTTTCCCGCCTGCATTAGATTTCCGAGGGGGAAAACTGATATGAGAATAAGAAAGAGCATGCGAACAAAAAGTTGCGCCAACAACAACTTAAGTGTAATATAAGCTAACGTTTTGTGCGAGCTTTGTGCACTGCAAACATGAGATGGAAGGCAACGAAAAGAAGGTCAAAATATATTAAATCCGGGTGGGATAGGTAGGCAAAAGCACGGTTGGGGGGCTGTTCATGAAAAAGACATGACACGACCGAAATCACGCACGCCAGACGCACACACAACGCGCGATTGCACGCGCCGGCACGTGGCGGAACGAGGCAATAACAAGGCGCGCCGGCGTACAGAAATTGCACTCAATATTTGAGGAGATGAGGAGTTGCGGAAGTTATTGCAGTGCATGAAAGTTAAAACGGCCGACTACGGAATGGAATTGAATGCCGGCTGTCGCGAAAGGCAGGCGGAAAACGCCGGCGTGCTGACGGTGGTGAAGTCGCGCGAAACAGATGCGAGGCGTGAAAATGGAAAAGTGGCGAGATGAAAAGACGTGATCTCGGCGCGGAGGGTGCATTATAAAGTGATATATCGGTGGCAATTATTCTTCTCGGCGCGTTTCATGAAAGCAAGTTCTTTGCAAGAGTTGAATTGAAGGCACTTGTTTGGGTCTGCAGCCGGGCGCGACCAAAATTGCTACGGCAACACACTTGGAAAATAGAAAATTGTAACAGCAGCAATTTTATAAACAAAATTGGGTTTTATCGGCATATGAGAGAATTGACAAGATTAATTTTTGAACAATGCGTTATAAAAATAAAATAAAATAGAATAAGAAAACTACTCTCTTATTTCTTGTAGCTAGAATTCCTGCAATTTTAATTTGTAGGAATGAGAAATGCTTTAATGCTTTAAAACTTTTACGAAATTTCGTAAATTATTATAAATTACACTTTCTGACTAGCGGACAATCTGAGTTTCTATGAAAAAAATGAAAATATGGCATAAAATCTCACGAAACTCATCAAACAAACTTTTATTCATCATCAGATGATACTGTTAAACATATTTTATTACGTCGCAGACCTGCACATTTCTTTAGATGAGAATAATACGAATTGGCTTGAATAAATATGTAAACCTCCATCTTCCTGATGGAAAGTAAACAAAACACTCCTTTTTATCAGACGACCGAGAATATTTCTTGGAGAAATGTTTTGTTTCCCTACTTCCTCACTTTTTCTTGCCTTCGCAGAAAATTTTATGGCCGCAACATTCTACGAGTGTGTCCCCTCATTTGTTCTTTGCATAAATGTATGTCATTTCCCGGAAGTTTCTTCAAGAAAATTACAAAAAAATATGAGAAGAATAAACAACAAATAATACGAAATTCAGGAAATACACCAGACGTAAAATAAAATAAATTCACCGCTATAAACGGCAAACTGTTCGAGATGAATATACATAATTCCAATAACGTCGTGGTCGACTTTCATCGGAGCCGCAACGGCAACATTTTCATATGTCGCAAAATTTGCACAATTTTTCGCTCGATGGTTTTGGGACCTTTCGTCCTACCCCTTGGAGACACATTCTTTCAACGCGTTCGCACTCCCATTCGAGTTTTATGTGCGCGGGATGCATGCACACAATGCAAATAATTCGCGAGTCTCGCACAGAACGTTAAGATTAAATTTGCGAAGTCGGGGCTAGTGCGAGAAGCATTGCGCCCAAAATGAAATGTCGTGTTTGGCCAGTGCGCAAACATTGCAACCCTAATATTTGCGACTTCCGGGAGGATAAACACGTCCGGCAGGCTCATATGCTCATCCCCATGAAGAGGAAAATTCTTGTTCCCAGCGCGCACCAAACGAGATGATTGCTGTGAGATGGCGAGTCATACGCACGCCATCCGGGACGGTTTTGCCAGGCAGAATCATGCAGTAAACGCATGAGTCTCGAGCGTGCACGCACGTCCACCGCAGGCATAAGCGCGGCGTGGGGGCGGA